GGGGGGGGCGGGGAAGTGTTTTACGGCTCTCGCAACTGCTTACATTATATGAGTGTGTGGAACACACTAAACATTTTCAGTTGGTGGGAAATTTTTAATTTTGCTCGGGTGGCGGCCGAAGCCTAGTCTTATCGATTTTGGACCACAAAGGGATCTTTAACGTGCACAATTTGCACACAGGACCTCCGAGATTTTTCGCCTTTATGTGAAAAGGCTAGGAGTAGATCTTTCCTACCATAATGTCAAGAGTGTGGCAGAAGAAAGGGTACAGAAAGAGTACAGAGTCCAGGGGAGAGGCCAAAAGAGGTGAGGGGGGTGGGGGCAGAAAGTGGAGATGAAAGCAGGCGACAGAACATTGCTAGAGAGCAGGAAAGCAGGTGAAAGGAGACAATTTTAGAGAAGAAAATGTTTCCATTGCTACACGGAATCGAACCCGGAACCTATTGAATGAGAGGGGAACACCATGACCTCTAAGCCACGAGAGCCCCTTCTCCGAGTGTTCCCACAGACATGCAATGTATCATCAAGTACTATGAAAAATGTTTGTGATTGTCAAAAAACATACAGAGACACAGGAAGGGGAAAAGTACCCCCCCCCCTTCCCCAGACATAATCTTCATCAATAGCTTCAAGGTTTTTTGAAGCCTTGTTCCCACAGTTGCTTGTACAATGACCTCTTTGTACATAAATCTTCTTTGCATTAACAACTCCTCCACCATAGAACAATCGACGAAACAACCACTGACTTTTATAATTATTATTTTTAAAATCACACATTTCCTGAAAAATGGGCTCATTCAACTCATTCCTTCACAAAAATGAAGAAAAAAAAATTAACAAAAAACAACACTAAAGAAACACTAACAGGTTTTTAAAGAAATAACTCTACTTACTTTAATACACGGGACTTGATATTTCAAATCTTCCTTGTAGATGCCTGTACTGAGAGACACCACACACACATAGAGAGGAGTCCTCCCCTGCTTGTCCACCACATTCACGTAGCTCTTTGCTTCCAGTAGAATTCTTATGAGTTCTTTGAGTTTCCAGTGGGCTGCACTGTGTAGTGGAACTCTCCCATAGCGGTCAGTGCTGTGCATAGAATGTGTTGGTAAACTACATTATTACTGAACAAACAGAGGATATAGAAATCTATGTTTTGTCATAAATGATTTATTTACACATTAACACAGATCTTCCCCATCCCACAACATGCCTCAAGCATGAGATGGGTGCTGGAAGGCTTGATTCCAAGTAGCTGCACCGTACTGCCAGGGTGATAGCCATCTTTTATCTATTGATCTCTGTTCATATGCTTGGCTAACAGACACCCCCCCCCACACCCCCACACACACACACACACACACACACACACACACACACACCCCCCCCCCTCCCCACACACACACACACAACTATCCAATCCTACAGTTCTCGCCCAATTTTGTGTTTTTAAATTTTTTCATTCACACGCAGATTTTTACTGTGCGTCATTAAATAAAATTAGGTAGCATTGAGAGAGAAGGACTTAGTTTCAGGGTTTTGAGTTTTTGTTTGAGTAAAGAGAAGCACATTGATACAGTAGCAGTCATTGTGTGGGGAAGAAGCAAGACAGAGAGAAAGAAAAGATGTAGGACCTACCACTGACGTCCCCCAATCACCAGCAAATTTCTGGGGGGGAAAAACTAAAAGAAAAATGTGATGTATCTCCTGGGTTGATTTCACACATTATCTGATCATATAAAGTGACATTTGTTGGAACATCATGAGCAGGCAGTCTGAGCAAGTGGCCATTTTTTCCTAGATCAGGTAATCTTTTCCAACCAATCAACATTTGTTTACTCCGATATCTCAATTTCTTTAAGTGTTAACCCTTAGATCCCAGGAAACCCTCTGACCGGTCCGGAACTTTATCGATGAGCCGACCGAGTATAAACCCTTTCACCGGTCAGGGAGTCACAGATCCAAGTGAGTCTGAGCCAGGCCTTACTAGGCCTAAATGTGCGTGCAAAAAAATATTCACTGGCTCTAGATGTGAGGTAGGCAACTCTGATTAGTTTGTAAGTGGATATTTTGTTTTGTTATTGTGTGAGACATATTTGTTGTCTGGTCATTTTGTTGTGACCCATGTGAAATTTCTTTAAAATGGCCGGGCAGGGGGTATTCTATGGTCAGCAGAGTCAGGGCTCAAAGGGTTAAGACATTTAGGACTACCTACATGTGCACTGATGCTCCTGCAGCCAGTAACCTTTTCACTGTAGCAATGCTGGAATGTACAACGGCATTCTGAACACAGATATACAGAGGAGTCTGATTCTCTTTGTCTGCTTTATCAATCTCTGCACCTGAAATGAATCAAAAGAGAACAGTATTGAATTGCTAAACGATGTAACATATATAAACTCAACAAAGTTGCCCAAAAATTGATGAGCACTTGATCCCACTGGGTCATGGCAAAAATATACTTTTTTTTCTGTCCTGTTAAATAAAGAATTGTATTAAATGAAATAATCACTTGTCTCGTATAGGCTATAAGTAGAGTAGGCCTACATACATATTCAGTAATGCATAGACTTTTGCCCTTTCCACTAATGCCATGAAGGGCTTCAGGTTCCCTTTCACAGCTGTGTAGCACAACAGCTGATGTTTTTGGTTTCTAGTCTCAGTGGGGGCTGGACCAGGTAAACTTCTTTTCCTCTTTGCACCCATTCAGAAGTCGTGTTTGGTGTCAGCCTTGCTGATCTGTTCATGAGTATGGAGAGATGTGTATGTGTTGGGCTAGACTCTGGAAATCACTTTCAGGCAAGGTTTCTTCTCTGTTGTTATTTCTTGGTAAGTTGAGTGTCCAGGACTAACTTCCCCAACAGGCAGATGACATGAGACATCATCTAATGGCATGAGCCTACTTTACCTGTGTTACATCTTGGTTCTGATAGCAATCGTTTCCTTGCGCTTCAAGGGCATCTTTTAAGAGCACTACATTCCTGCTTATCTCTGGGGGGCTAAATGATAAATACAGTACAGTGATGTCAACTTAATACTAACTTATAACTAAGCAATTCAGATAAGTCAGATAAGAACAACCTCCACCAAGTACCAACCTAAGCTTGCGTAATGGAATTTTTCCTATACAACCCCTTTCTATAGCTACCTTTCCCTCTAACAGCACAACCTTCTTTGCAACAAATTGTCCAACAAAGTATTTTTTTGATGATTCAAAAACTATGAACACTGGCACTCTAAAAATGTATTACTCTGAGTACAGGAGCTCAGTTTACACCCTCCTGCCAAGAGCCATCCTCATTCAAGAGTCAGAGGGAAAAAATCTCAGCCCCTGAGCATAACATTACCACTAATGCTAGAAAAGCCTATTTTTTGACAGAACATCACCACAATCTAGATTAGGACCCATGTATGTGAGTGCGTGTGTGTGTGTGTGTGTGTGTGTGTGAGAGAGAGAGAGAGAGTGTGTGTATGTGTGTGTGAGTGTGTGTGTGTGTGTGTGTGTGTGTGTGTGTGTGTGTGTGTGTGTGTGTGTCATTACCTCAACCCATGTGCATAATATTACCACTGATGTTAAATATTGCCTTTATGTTCTCATTTTCTGACAAAACAACATCACCATTATATCCTAAGAATTAGGACCCATGCCTGTGCATTGTGTGTGTGTCAGTGTGTGAGTAAGCGTGTGTGTGTTCGTGTGTGTGTGGGAGGTGGGTTATCATTACCTTTGAGGTTTACTACATTTCAATCATGATTACCTTCACAAGTTTTCAATCTGTGTGGCATCTGACATCGTCTTACATTCTATTTAAGCTAAAGCTTTTTCAGTGATTAAGTTGCTCAGACCTTCAACACTCATAACAAGTCCTTTCTTGTCAAGTTACTGACATTAAGTCATTAAGTTTGAGTAACCTATATCAAATATAACAATCTACTCTACCAGCTTTAGAGTTCTAAATGCGCTCATCATATGACCTTATGCAGTTGTGAGCGCAGTAAAACTCTAACTAACACTAAACAGAGTAAATACATTACCTGCTTTGACCAAAACATCCACTAGCACCATCCGACCATGAAAGGCAGCTTTGTACAAGGGAGTGCAACCATTGCGATCTGTTCTGTTCAGTGCTGCTCCACTGTGCAGCAAAATCTAATATTTCCAAAAGAAAGAAAATTTAATTGTATGACAAAATGAGAATATCTTTTCAAATGTGATGTTAGCAGATCACTGTGAATTGCTACAAAAATAGCATAGTTAGCCATTTTTTTGAAACAGCAATTGAGTGCAGATGGCATTGACTCGAAACCATGACACCTGGCTCAAACTTACCATTAAATTCATTAAATTATAACACAGACCAGAAGAAACAATTAACCAAAATGCATTCCTATCAAAACTATTAATTATTATAGAATCTCAGTCACTTGCGTGTGCTTTAAAAACCATCGATAAAGAATACCAGTCATCTATAATTTACGGCCAGGTAGCCTGTAGACTCCTTTCTGCATAGCATTTTTCATATTAAATTGATACTAAATAATATGGAGGGCCGTACGAATAGCCACAGGTATAATTTTTACGCCTGAAATGTGTGGGCAATACAGATTTTACTATAATATTGTCAAGGGTAGCCTTTGTTACACTTTGTAGCCTTCTTTATTTTTATTATATTACAAAAAGCCATCCTCATCTTACTTAATAATAAAAAGCCATCATCATCTTATCAATCAAGTCATTTTATTCTGTTACTTACCATAACAATCTCAACATGGTTGAGAGAAACTGCTGCGATTAGTGGTGTAGTGCTGTCCTTGACACTTGGAACTGCAGGATTACTCCATGGGTAGTTTATATCAACACCTTGATTTAAAACAGACAAGACGCTTGACTTGTCATTTCCAACCACAGCAATATGAAGATCCCTTTCTCTTTGAGGCATGCCCATTGTCATGGAAGCTGCACAATTTTTGCTGGATCTTGAATTACCCATGATTAAATTAAGTTTTTCAACAGCGGTTTACAAATTTAAATATTATTAACTCGGAAAACGTCAAGTCATAAATGCCCACTCAGCATTCAAAAGAACTATTCTTCTCTTATTTAGAATACATGCACTGTCTGGGCTTTGGCTTCTTTCAAATGTTTATATTAATCGATCAGGTAATGCTCGATTCTCCTATTCCAGTTGGCCTATGAAAAAGGTGCATCCTCCAGACTGTACAACTTTTATTTTAAAATGTCCCAGTGTTCTGCAAAACACAAGCATTCAAAGCAGGAGATAACGTTTGAGTTTGAGAGGTCAACGGGGTAGAATACGACCGCTAGTCCTAATCACTTTTATTTGAACCATTATTCTGATCTTCATCAGCGGGCATCATTCTAGATTCCAGGCCTGTCACTCATGTCATAGAAAGACAACACATCCTGAGCCTGGCTTTGATTATCCACGCATTACAACGGGTCATCCATCAGCCATGAACAAAATTTTAGCAAAATTTGATGCCGAACTCATTTTGACCATGATTCCAATCCTGGGATTCCGATTCAACACTGTTCAGAGCAGTTAGGCACTGCTCGGCCAGGGCAGGGGATCAGGATCAATGCGTGTTTATGTTTTGAACAGACAGAGTCAGGGGTTCACTGTTCGTTTCAATACAGCAAAAAGAAAGCTGGAGATTCCCTCAAGGGTGAAGCTATTCCAGAACGTACAAATATCAATGATAACTGCTAAACTTGATTTTTGTCGTATCGAAACGTAAACACGACCAAATGTTCCTTTTCCGAATGGCAATGTAAACTTGTCTGCTAGATTTGGGCAGCCCTCGTACGTCGCTCAATTCGATGTGCTAGTTTATGCGCAGCCAGAGACATGGTTGCCAGGATTGGTTGAGTTTGGGGGAAAAGTATACTATGGTAAATTTTGGCCAGAGCAGAGGTTATTTACGAGTTATGAACCTTTTCGACTAAGAGCGGTGGTTTTAGGGTGTTGTCTGCTCCTTCGTGCAATTTTAAAAAAATTATGAGGTAAGTATTAATTTCGCCCTGAATGCCGAGTATACTTGACCAAAACCCAAACAAAGTTAGCTTTCTATAATGTGTCCGGCACGACATGTTCAATTCGTATTATTTTACTATTGGGCCTACTTTTAAAAAAGACTGGTCAACAACGGAAGGAGAAAAACAATTCTACAGATATTCAAGGGCTTCTTTTAAAACTATATGATTCTTTAAGTTAAAATCGATGAGCAAGTATTTAATCAGAAGTTTAGAATAATTCGACTGTCCCGGGTAGTTTTCTGCTATGCAGCCAACAATCCACATTCATCGCCAGACTGCGATAACGCAAAACTGGCATATAAACTGCCTGGCTTTCAAAATAATTTTTTGCCTATCGTCGCATTATTACCAGCCAAAACTCATGTGTTTCTGTTTTAAGACGGTAATATAAAATGGCTGGGTTTTTTTGGTATAACAAGTAATCGTTGTTAGTGATAACAATCTGGCAATATATACAGACAGTGACTTTATATAAAATAATTTCGACCAACTACAAGAGGGCTTTAAAAGAAGAGTTTTTATTGGCGGCGCGTTGCTTCTAGTAGCCTGAAACGTCTTGCAAAATTTATACAATTTGCATTTTACTTGTTTCTGAAGCTACTAATAAGTTCACGATAATCTGATATTGGGCAGTGAACTGCGAATTATCAAAGCATTTTTTGCCTACTATTTTAGTGGATCCTACACATGCTGATTCAATAAAATTTTCTGATTTTTACCAAACGTCCATAGAAGCAATATTCAGAGTAAGGTGGGGAAAACCAGTGAAAACATAATTATTACTTCTGTCATTATTCCCTCGGGGGTGGGGTGGGGGTGCCCTGTTTGAGGTGAGTGACGTAACGTTAATAATGTGTATATCCATTTAACCCGTTTTAACTCTAGCAACATGTTTTTAAAGACCTCGGGGGGGAAATCTTGAAAACAATGACTAAATCAAGCAAGAATTTAAGGTGCTGTTATAATACGTGTAGGCCCAGGCCCACTAACTGACCACCACACTGTGTTCTAAAAGGTAAAGCAAAACAATTATCTCGTCATCTGTAGAATTTGTTCTTCAGACATTGGGATAACCAGGTATCGTCCCCATTTGCCTTCCACGAGCAATCCACACACTGTTTTCTGGTACTTCCGGTTTTTTCGGCCAAACAGCAAGAGGTCAATGATCTGAAATCTCTTTGTGAGGAAGGAAGCAGTAGGCCTGGACTCCAAAACAAGAACGGTTTGATTGAGCGAACAGTGAGCAGCAGGACACAGTACAGTACTCCGAAGTGATGAGAACGAATTGACCGAGAGACTAGACGACCTTTTAAAAACTCTAGGTTCGAATAGAAGATCAAAGCAATTTCAGATTTTAATTGAAAGTTCAGAATTAAGGATATGTTGATAAATATCATTGAGTTCCTTTCTGGACTTGGCACTTGGCCCTTGTTGTATCTCTAGAATCTAGTGGTGAGGGAGTCGTACTGTAGTGTAGTGTAGCCTGACTGTAACTGTAACTGTACTGTAGCTGTACTCTGTAGGTCAGCACGTCCTCAACACATTGCTGCACTGCTCACTCTGGCTAAGACACACTCTTTCTCCCCCTTGCCTCCTTCTTGGTCCACCTCCTTTAAACTCTTGTTTAATAGACTTTTAACAGCTAGGATAGACTAGAGATTTACATACGGCTGATACGGATAGCTAGAATGACAGATGTACGCCATTTGCCGATAGAAAGTGGCTATTCTCACCCGCCCGGAAGTTCTCGCAAGATCAACTCCTCCCCTCTTCTCTCTCTCTCTGTCTCTTTCTGAATACTGTCTATCGGTGTGGACGATCAAATTGACCAAAACAAAGTTAAAAAATGATGTTAAAACACAAAAGTAAATTAATTTGGTTGTCTACAAAGATGCTACGGCTATTTAACTTTTCGAATCGAGCCGAACTATGCGGGTCGCCATTTTGTTTTGCCCGAAAATTCTCGCGCTACTCCTCTCTCTCTTTCTCTCTCTCTCTCTCCATTGCCCACAGACAAAATTGTACGCTTTTAGTAGGCTACAGTTGTAATGGAACGTTTGTTCACGGCACAGAATTCTACAATTTTTCTGTTATCACAGTGTAGAATTCTGTGGTTTAGGGTGAACGCAAAATTTGGTGAACGCGCACCGGGTGAGAATAGCCACAAGACTCGCCTGTACTATTCTCACTCCGGGTGAGAATAGAGGTGGCCTTGCCGATATTTATAGTAACAGCCATCTTGTTTGACGTCATTGAGGGATTCCCACTTTACACTTTGTTGTCATTCATGTTCGGCCTCTGAATTTTTTTTTTCGCCCCCTCCTGCCCGCCCACCCACCTGTAATTAACTAACCTGACTTCAAGTTGGGAAAGTAAAGGACTAATTTTTTTTTTTTATTAAAAAAAAAAAAAAGATATATAATCTAAATCTAAATCTAGATCTAGATCTAGATCTAGTCTAGATCTAGAATGTGGATTTTGAAGTCTCTATTGTAGTGTGTTAGGCGTGAGAAGCTGAAAATAGTGGGGTTTGTGTGATTGTATATATATACATTTTGTCTAAGAATATAGCTATCTGATGCATGTGGTACTTCTTGTACAAATTGCGAGGCTGAGGCAATCGCCATTGAAGCAGCAATCCTACACCTGACCAACATTTTCATAATACATCCAAACAAAATCAAGAACACTATTATCTTCACAGATGGAAAGTCAGTACTCCAAGCTCTGGAAAACATGAATTTCGAAAGCCCAGCCTGCCTATCTGTGGCTCAAACAATCAATACGTTCATACAGACCTATATGCCGTCGACCTGACACTACAGTAGATACCTGGCCACAGCAACATCCCAGGAAACGACAGAGCAGACACCCTTGCCAAGAAGGGAGCATTACAGACACAACCTCACAACCCAGTATCACAACAGACAGCCAAGAACATCATCAAATGCAACACCAGGGAACAGTGGCTGAATGGATGGGCAATGGGCAAAACTGGAAGAACTGTATTTGCACACATGACAGCCCCCAACTCTAAAGATGCAATAAATTCCCTGAGTAGAAGAGAACAAGTCACGATATTTCGCCTGCGAACACAACACATACCACTAAACTCCTACTTTAATAGGATCCGCAAGGATACCCCACCCGACTGCCCGTTGTGCGACTGCCAGGATGAAACAGTACCACACCACCTCTTTAACTGCCCAGCACTTTGTGACCTGCGTAGCACCTACCTACCTGCCTCCCCAGACATCGGAAACACTCTATACAGCGACAAAGCACAGCTGATTAAAACCTGTCAATTCTTTGCCATATTGACAGACCGAAGGGCTAGAACCCAAATGGCCGCTGGATCGGAAAAGTAAAGTAAAGTAAAGTCTAAGAATATAATATAATTCGTGCATATGGTGGTGGTGGTGTTGTTTTTTGCGGGACAGTAGTTGGTAGTTTATTTAGTGTGATCATTGCTCGGGATAGCGGTTTTTTTTTTAGCATACTTGAATAGTGAGAAGAATAGAAGAAGACTAAGAGTAGGCCAACGTACGAAAGCAATTTCACACAAAGTTCAACAACGCAGTGCAAATGATTGACCGTTTCGATGCGGGTCATTTCTTTTAAAGTTTTGTAAGCACAAGAAATTAAGCACTTACGAGAAATTTGGCTCAATAGGACACTGAGGTGCAAATTGAGTAGATCTAATTCGGGACTGCAAGGTTTGCAAATGGATACTGTGAGGTGCAAATGCAGTGTGCTAGGGGAAACCACATTATAGTATTATAGGAAGACTCAAAGAAGGAAGGGAGTAAGTGGAAGGCGAAAGGGGAGGGAGGAGGCTGCTGGTGGGGGGAAGATGAAGGGGCAGAAAGCAGAAGAGGAAAGGGATACAAGGTCCCAGCAGAAAGACGCATGGTATATATATACTCAACAGAAATTCTCTTCTTGTGGGAATTGAACTCATGATCTGCATGTGATGATGAGGCGCTTACTTACGGTCTTCAAAGAGCTTACAATGGCAAGACTGCAAAAATTATACCTATTGATTAATAGAAATGCTAAGCACCTCTTTTATTATATCAACAGTGACAACAGTTCTGCTAAGATCATGCTGTAGGCAGTTCAGTAAAAAGTTGTCTTGGAACTTGGTGCAGTGTGGAGTGCGGTATGTCATTTTTAGGCTCGTCTAGGGACATGAACAGGGAGGTTAGGGGGTATACAAATGTCTGTTCAGAAAAGTTATGTCACAAACTGTAACTTATTGTACAAAAATGCATCTTTCGTCATTTATATATATATATATAGCCACACTTTTCAGATAATAATAATAATAGATAGCATTTGGGCGTGCAAATTCCAGGTCAACAGCAAGCGCTATGCACTTTTTTACATTCTATATTATTACCCCAGCAGACCTGATAGCTTTGTGAAACAATCTCAACTTCCTTGGAAGCATACAGTGCAAGCTGCCATTTTATAAGCACTTAAATAAATCATATACTTGAGATGTTATAATGAAGGTGTGTAGGTGTGTGCAGTGAGTTGAGAATTTATTGTGGGACATTTTTATAGAAACTGAGATCTTTTTTCTATTTGAACTATGCATGTGTACATGCTCAAGCAGAGATAGCGTAAAACAGTCCTTGGAGCATGCTGCACATCAGGAGTCTGTTGTTCCTTTGTTTGCTGTTATTCCCTAGCTGGATGTTGTGCTTACTTGGGTTTCTCAGGTCTGCCATCTGTCTAGAGGTAGATTCTCACATAGTCCATGACCTTGCTGAAGAAGAGCAAGCTGTACATAGATCATGGATGCGCTCTATACAGTGGAACTCGGATTCAACGAGGTCGCCGGGCCTGATCTAAAATCTCGTTGAATCCGAGAGTTCGTTATAGCAAACACGAGGTTTTGTGTAGATAATTACAGGTACTGAGCAAGTAATGTATAAAGAGAAGTCACAGGTAGTGCCTGAGATGCCTCATATTATGAGCTGTGTAAAAAACCCAAAAAAACTTGGGAGACGGAGGAGCTTCTGTATCAGCAGGAACAATGAAGGACAGCGGACAAAGCCGAGAGGACTACATACTCTCAGGAAGTCAGGCAGCTGCATAACAAAGAAAGTTTTGGATTGGAACCCACAGGGCAAGAGATCAAGGGGAAGACCTCGTGGAACTTGGAGAAGAATCACAGAAATCGATGTACAGAAAAGTGGGAAGACATGGAATAACATCAAGAGGCTAGCCCAGGATAGAGAAAAGTGGGGGGTGTTTGTCCGTGGCCTATACCCTGGTGCAGGGTGAGAAAGGCAATGATGATGATGAAAAAAACAAAAAAACAGATTCGTTCAAATGCACACGCCTGTGTCATCTCGATTGTTTACCAAAAAGTTGTGTTGCTGTGTAGAGCCTAGTATACGGCAACTTTTGATTCCACAGACCAGCGCACAATTCATTACGTAGATCAACGTCAAGACTAGCTTATCATTGTAATAGTGATCAGTTGGCGAGGGGGGAAAAAGACGTGACGCGTTTGTATCTTCGACGTTCAACGCCCGGACCACTAGTGTCCCCCCCCCCCCCTCCCCAACACGCACACACAGTCACACGTGTGCAAGCCGCCCATCCGTCCTCGACACACACCAGAGTAGACTCGTGCGCGTGCCAACAATGCATGTGTTGGTATGAAAAAAGGCTGGTGATTGGTCGCATGCCATCGGCTAAGTGAATAATGGCAATGGTTCACGATGCAGGTGCAATGGATGGTTTCCTGGAAAAAAGTTCGTTCTGGGAGAAAAATGACTGAAGCCACGTCTGCGGGGGCTGTTCACCTTGGAAGCGACCTCGTTGAATCCGAGCTCGCTGATTTAAGCGCTCGTTGAATCTGGGTTATTTTTATTGATTTTAAAGAAGAAAAGAAACGGGGAATCTATCTCAACTCGTTGAATCCGAGTTCTCGTTGAATCCGAGTTCCACTGTATAAGTGCAAATATTTTTATATATCTTGCTAATGGGTTAGTGTCCTAGCGCCTGTAAAATGAAAGGGGCAATTTATGTTTACCAGGAAGCTAAAAATGTTTCTTAGTGTTCTGGGGTTGTATAGGTTTAAAATAACAAAAGCATGCTGTTGATTATGGATATGCACAGCTGCCAACCTGTATATATGAAAAAAACCCATTTTATTGATATGTTTTTGAGGGTCTGAGTACCGAAGTCCATTTTCGTGGTGAAAATATGTATTCTGTTGGGTTTTTTTTGTTATTTTGTTCCTTATATGGACTTGCTGATGCTGGAGAAAAATTATGAACTTTCGATCTAGACCAGATTTGCGAATTATAATGATGATAACAAAGCTCATAAATAAACTGGAGTTGTGTCTGTAACCATAGTTACAGATTTTTACTTGACATTTCTCACATTATTGGTTCAAATCTGCTTTGAATAGCTTGAACTGATTTGCATGTTAGAAAAGTATGTATGAAAATTGTGGCGAGGGGTTACTTGGCCAATGTCCACCATCTTGACCCGCCACATGAGTAGAGTCTATTTTTGGGTTTTGAAAAGTTGGCAGGTATGAACGTGCAATGTAGTATAACTACAATTACTAGTATTATTATAACTTGGTGTTATATTGAAGTGAAAATGATACCACTCACTGTGTTAAACAAGTTTTGTCACTACCCTGAGATGATGTTGTATTGCAGATTGTGAAAGCTTGCACAGTTTGCCAAATCATCCTTCACACTGGCTACACTATTGGATAATCGTTACTTGAGCTCTGAAGATGAAGCTTTCGTTGATGATCTGTTGACTGACATATCTGTTTTCCATGAAAAGGAAGATTCATATCGGTAATAGCACTTCTCCCTGCTTTTGCTTTTACTCGTCTGCTTCATGTTTATTTTATTTTATTTTTTGTTATCACTTTCAAAAACGCTTTACTGTAAGTAATCTTAACACTTGGAAATAGTTGTGAAAATTGGAAACAATATAAATGTTATATTTTTTGTTTACTCTTTTAAATGACTGAGAAGATGCTAAAATATTTGTTTGAAAACCCCAAAAACTAATCATAAACATAAAAGCAGCATTAACAGTGTTTTGTGATCTATCACCATTTCAGCCTGTTACAATTTCAATTGCATGATGGAACACATCCTTTGTAATCTAGTTCATGGTAAAGTTTTACTCCCTTTTTATTGGTTTATTACCATTTATTGCTCTATTAACACAGAAGCTGCATGTCTATGAGAAACCATCTTTAATTGAGTGGACTTACAGTAAGCTTCTTTCTTTGAAGTACATGATACCCGTTTTCTCTGGAGGAAGGAATGCCTGTCCTTTCAACTCATCAAGGACAATTCTGACACTCATGCAATTTTCTTCAATTCACTGAATGGGGACAATTTTCATAAATGTTCAATTCTAGTCTACATTAACCCCTTTGTGACCATACTACATTCGTCATTTTTTCTTACTCAGCAAACAACTGTTTGTCATTGGTTGTATTCTGCATACTTTGAATCTTCCGTATTTTTATGGAAATTAGTATTTTCTGACAGTTTTGTACTTGCTCCCCAATCATTATCAACTCCATCCGTAAAAAAATGCGGTAGCGTAGGAGTACCGAAATTCCGAGTCAGAGGATCTATACTCGCTTTCATAATGTCTTCCGGATATTTATGGTAATTCTCTCGGCAATAAGTTAATGTTATAGAAATCTGCCAGATTGCGCATTTCCTGTATAGGCTAGATTTCTTGGATATGCTAGGTACAGTTGTTTTTTTAATTTCTTCTTTTTTCTTCTCAATTTTAATGATTTCAGTGAAGAAAGTAACTGTTGTATGCTAAGTCTACATTATGAGCTCAAAATGGAACATTTTTTATGCCTTTGAGGAAAATGACTACTTTGGGTCTCTGTACAAATGTCAGAATATTATGATTCAGATAAAAATGAAGAATATGTGCCACCCAAGAGGGAGACATGCAGCACGATGAAAGATTATTCTCCAGTCTCAGTTTTTGGCCTGATTCTCCTCGACATTCACCTAAAACCACTAAGCACTGTTCATTATGATTTTATATTCCTTGAAAAAGCATTTGATTACACAAATAGCATTTTTTTTTTTTTATCAAAAAAATTGTTTGATAAATAAATGTGTTAATGGTGTTCTGAAAAACCCTTTCTTTTACTGGGTTCCTGGGAATATTGGGTTGCCGGTACCTTAGTCCTCAATATAATCCGTTGACATTCTGGGAATGAGAAGACATAAATTCCACATCTGTCATAAACTGTTTTCATGCTATACATGAGATGCTTTATTTGTGTCACGACACTGTGGCTCATCAATTTGGAGTCTTTTGAGTTATTGTTATCATCTTTATACATGTTCATTTGTTATATGCTTCTGATTTTACAAAAATATCCATCTTTTTTAAAATAGAAGTCGAGATATTTGTGATTGAAGGAGGTGGGGGTCGCCTGGTGTGGAGATCAAATTTATGAGAAAATTGCAGTCAAAATTTGGTGGCTTCCAAATCTTGATGTCCCTGGAAACTGCCCCTTTACATTTTGTGTGTGTTTTGATTAACATTTTTCAGTAAAATCCACACAGAATTTGATTTAATTATTTTGACGAGTGCCTGATTCCACCATAATGAAACACATTTAGTTTTTTTGTTGTGGAATGCAACTTTTAAAAAAAAACATAAAATCAGTAGCCTTTTTTAAAACTTTTATTTACCTAGTGGTTTGTTAATATGAATGTATGTTATTCATGTGATATGTTTTACAGTTTTCTTCATATTTTTCAGTAATGATGTTACAAATGACATAAATGTCTCAGTTTAGGCATTTTATTGCCAAGCTTTTCGGAAATAACTGGTTGAACAAATAAAATCAAGAAAGTGTAATTCCTTGTGTTAAATTTATTTTTATGAAAATGAATAAAAGTGAAATTTGTCTTAACAGCGTTCTGATCTTCCCGGCCTTTAGCAGCTACCACAGACTGCTCACTCATAAAACTGTTGAGAACGATTTCAAGAGGCTCATCACATTTTCTGTTGGGATTGGAGACACACGGAGAACTGTTGTTGCTTTCAAAGAAGCTTGTGAGCGGTAAGTGCTCTCTGTTTCATACTTCAGGCAGCTGGCTTTAAATCTTCAGCTTTGCTAAATACTAAGATAGCTTTATTTAGTTTTCAGCTGAATGAGACAAGGAAGTTAATTATCTGGACAACTGCATTCATTTTTGTTGCTTTTCGTGTGTTGTCATTTTCTCAAGTATGGGACACAGCTGGCTGAAGGTCGAGAGGATGGCCCAGAACAGTGATAGGTTGAAAGCCTTTCTGCTTGATAGCCTTTCTTAGTGGCTTATACCCAATACCAGTATGTCATTGAGTTCATGTTTTCAATGAAAGTTTACAAATAACAATAAGTGATTTTTTCTTTTTCCTTTATTGTTGTTTATTCTTTTATATTTTGGGTCAGTTATTTGAGGCCTATATTGCAAGACTGCTTAGACCTTTGGGGGGGGGGGGGGGGGGGGCATTGGGGATGAGTCACTTTACTGAATAATAGGCTTTATCGGATAGCAATTTTATGTTTGTGCAGCACGAGACAAAGCATAATACAATTTTGTGATGTATATTTTTTTTTTTTTCAGTACAAGTTGTAAACTTTGTTTTATTGTGTGGTTGAATTCTGACCTTTTTGCTCATAGTGTAGGCCTTCCTTTCTACTTTGACAGGGGTCCCAGAGGCATGGACTTGCTGAACTCATCAGGGCCCAACTCTCGTGGCCGAGGTCGAGGGCGGGGCCGCAAAGATATGACCCCTGGGGAACGGGTGGCCAACTGGGTAAATGAACGAGAAGCTCGCCGATTGAATAAAGAACGATGGAGTGGCCGTTCTGGGAATAACAGTAGAGCTCAGTCAGATATGACTGATGCCGGGGAGGCTTCTTTGAATTCTGCTCCAGATGCCACAGAACAAGAGATCAGTGGTGACAGGTAATTGGGTCTGAGAATGAATTTGATTTTTCATGGGGCAAGAACTTTTCTTTTTAATTTACATTGTTTATAAAAATGTTGTTGAAAGTAGTACAGTGTAACTTGGATATAAGGAAGTCGTTGGGCGCGACTTTTGATCTCGTTGAATCCGAGTTCGTTACAGCAATGTGAGTAACAGGTTGCGTCACAGTGTAGGGCTTAGCCTTTGGCAGTGTCTGTTTCCACAGACCAGCATGTAATTAATTACGTAGTTTTACATCTGCTATGTCCAGACAAGCTTTTCATTATCCAGTAGCCGGGTGGAGGGGATGGATATGATTGTGATGCCTCTGACTTTCTGCGTCCGAATAGCTTGTGCCTACGGCATTGTCATCTCCCCCCCCCCCCCCAACCCAACCAAACCCGTCATCGCACTAACAGCCACCTGACTGAGCTCTCTGGATCCTGGCACACACCAAGACATTTCACATCTTATGCACATGTTAATATCGCACGCATGTGTTGGTGTGAAAGAGGGCTTCCATTTGGCAGCATAAGATGTGAGCAGTAGGCTAGGCTAAGTGTATAATGATCCTTGGTTCAAGTGCAATTGCTGTTGTTCTTTTCTGGAATAAAGTAGATAAGGTTCGTTGCGACTTCGTTGAATCTGAGTTTGCTCATTTATGTGTTCATTGAATCTGAATTATTTTATTTTAATAAGTTCATAATATGGGGAATCTGTTTCTTTTCGTTGAATCCGAGTTCCACTGTAGTCATTTCTTTCCAAAGGGTTTGGTAAAAGTAAAATGTTAAGATTCACTGGGATAAGGAGATTATTCAATGAATTAACCTACTCTAATGGCCGCCTGTCCAAGACAATTGTCTTTTTGTAGCATTTCCACACAAAAAAAAAACTGGTGGAGGTTCCAGAGTGCGGCTGGACCTTACTACAACTGAATAGTGGTGCTTTTTTTTGTTTTGTTTATAATTTCTTTGCTGCTTCTCTGAAGGACCTTTCCTTAGGTCAGCATACTTTTTGCATGATTTTTCCTTTTCCAGCTCCATATTGCAAAGATTGTGTTATTTTGAACCTGTAAATTTTCTATTCATCATATCTTGGCCTTTCTAGATTTAAATTTAAAAGCAACTTGTTTTCAGCTGAGTTGTTTGGTTGATTGGAGATTTATAAAACCTTTTGATATGACAGATAATGTGTAAAAACATCCTCTCTTTTGTAACCTACATACATGAAATATGTTGCTTACATAAACTTTTCATTGTGAAATTTTCGTTGCTGCCCTTGGCTCATTGCTGCTTCCATACTCTTGGGAACTTGAACATGGCGGCATCCCTGATTTTAAAAGTAAAATGGCCTTTCTTAGACAGCTGCGTGTTTTTAAATGACAACTCATTGTTTGTTTCAACTCTTCAGCAGACAAAAGTTTGAAACTTGACCACCTTGCAAACAAGAAGAGTTGTCTTCCCAGAGGAGAGATATTAACATGTTCTTATGCACAGTAGAATTGTAAATGTGCTGATTTATCAATGTCATGCTCATACCGTGCCGGAACAACATGGAGGAACTGCTGCTTTTTCTTTTCTCATCCTTACTATCGTCATTTTCCTCTACTTCTTTTGTATGTTTTCACTCTCTTGTGAACTACTTTTTCATGGGTGCCTTGATAGTCAAAGCAGACTTTGTGCTGTTTAGGCTAGAGAGGTGAGCAGAATAAGCCTGATTCCCCATTTGGACTTCTTTGTTGACATCCACCCCTAGGCACTCATATGACCTAGAATGCAGTTGCGAGCGCTGTAAAACCTTACTAAAAAAAGGAGAGTTCTTCCATAGTTTTGGTTGATATCTCTTATTTTTTTAAAGGTTCTCAAGTAACATTAGGCCAATGTGTATTTTTCGAATGTTGAAGCGTGTCACCTCCATTTTAAAATGGGATAATGGACTCCATACTTGCCTTGATTGTGATTTAATTTTTGTACCTTCACTGTTAACTTTATGGCGATCTTGTGATTCAGTTTCTTTTTTGCAAATCTTTTTAGGGGAATTTGTAATTACTTTTATTTTGCAAAATCTAACTTGATGCACTTTTTTTTCATGTTTAAGGTCAAAACAGAAGAAGCATGGAGTGGCACTATATGTTCCACCTTCACTTCGGAGGAAAAACGTGTCTACATCAGAATCTCCCAGTTGTGCAGAAAGTCCCGACAACAGCTCCTCTTCTGCTCAGCAAACATCTTGTCATGCAGATTCTCATTTACCGCAAGCCTCGTCTGATGCTGCTGTTAGTAGACTCTCTGGTATGGAGCAGCCCGTGGAAAGTGTTGATGACTGTAAACAAAGGGCGAGGTCTGATAAAATTGAAAACAGCGGTGATGCTCAACCTGCATCAGTCAAGCAACGGGGAAGAGGAAGGGGTAAGAAGAAACCTGAGATGGAGATCTATGTTCCTAGGGCACTGAGAGAGGCTAAGCGAACCCCTAAACCTGGAAAACCGTCCAGCTGGGAAAGTAACAGTCTCAAAGTTGAACAACATATTACTGGCCAGTTCTCTACTCCTGAAGAGGTTGTTGACAATACTGTCTGTGAAGACTCCAATACCTCACTACCCGCAGATCCTTTCACAATGGTCGCAGACAATCGTGATGATGCTCCAGAAAGCTGCCTTCAAATTCCTGACACTGGTCCAGGAGATAAGTGCGATGAAAGTGGTGTAGACAGCTGCAACACGTCGGTGGATTCATGTGGAGATAGTTCATCATCGAAAAAGTGGAAGCAGGACACAGAGAGTGAGGGCAACTCCGAAATGGTTCAGGGAGTGCCAAGTTCATCCTTGTCTGTGGACACAACTAGTAATTTGACTTTTGAGTTTTATGATCCAGCAGTCATTGCCTTTATGCCATCTCCTGTGAGAGTGGAGGAACCCTTCGACTATGGCAGTGCTGCTTGTGCTTCCGTCACTGATGATTCTGCTGTTTTCAGTTCACGGTCTGTGGAAACTCATGTGGAGCCAAATCCAAAAGAAACTGTTTGTGAGGTGGAAGTTAAAGAAAAACTTTTGCTTGAAGAATCCAAAGTGCCAATGGAAACAGACCTTGTCTGTATTAGTAATCCTACGCAGTCCTTTCCTGATTCTGATGGAACTGAGAACATATCAACTGGTGCTGGAAATGTTGGTCAGGCCGTTGTTGAATCGGAAGTGACCAAAGACAGTGCCTCTACATCGGAGGGGAATATTGATGGGAATGTGTCTCATGTTAGTGTCCCAGAGTCAGTTGGTGGAACGGATTGTGAACTCACGAGAACAGGAACAAGTCAAATTTGTGCTGGTCACGAATCTAATCAGACCCCCTCAGAACCCATCAGCAATTCCCCAGTGCCAATATCTGACAATCAAGCTATCGAAAGTGCACCTTCAAACCCCTCACCTGTTCACCCGCCTCGCACAGAAACAAGCCCTGAGCAGGGTAAATCTAGTCCAGAGACACGTCCCCGTTCTCCTGAAGGGGACAAAAGTGATCAAGATGACGATGAAGACTCCTGGGACACACTGTTTGATGACAATGGTGACTGTGTGGATGAGTCAGCAGTGAAGGAAGTAAGATATCTTGAGACTTTTTAAAAAACACAAAGTTTTGATCAGGTGTAATTCTGTAAAGAAACATGCAGTTTTCTCATTGTTCTAAGAGTACTAAGTAAATGTTCAATTCTACGTTTTTGTGTCCTAGCACACCCGAAGTAAAAATGTGACAGCTGTGATGAATTCTTTTCTTTTCTCCAATTTTTTATGTCTGGGTTTTAATTGTTTCGTTATTCTGATGTTTTGTTCAATATATTGAACACATCTATGATCTATTAGTTTCTTCTAGGCCATTTTATTTTGTGTATCTGGATTATTTTGCAATTCTCTATTTTTATGTTATTTCATAATTGAACGTGAATTTTGATGGGGGTTTTTTTCATCAGCTCACGGAGTTTGTTGGCAAGGTAGAAATCGACAAACCCAAGATAAATTATTTGAAGTATCAGCCAAAGGAACCAGAATTGGACTGTGATGGTGAGATTTTGTTTCTTTTTGTAAATTGTGTATAAATTACTATAAAGGTTACTCAAATGAATGTGTCGTTGTACTTGTAGCATTTTTTTGATTTGATGGAATGGAAAGCTGTCGTTGGCGTTATGAACGTTGCTTTACCCTAGGCCAGTGATTGATTTAGATGTAATTTACTCTGCATGGTTTGCTTTATCATTAGAAAAACCCAAAGGCTGTTCTGGTCTTTTCAATAGAGTTAAAAGACACATAGCACATCTTTGCGTAAATTTGTTGGGATGCCTTAGATTATTTGAGAATTGCCTTTCTTTAATAAAGGAAAGTTTAATGTCTTTTCATATTCCCACAATACCTTCCTATATCTTTGCTTATTAATTACACTTACAAAATAAGCCAGAAAAATAAATACAACGCGGTTTTGTGTTGAAAACTACTGAAAATTGTTTCTTTTTTTTTCAGCTTATAGTCATATATTGGAAATCTATGACTTTCCACCTGAACTGGCTACATGTGATCTCATAGGGGCGTTTAGTGAATTTTCGTAAGTTGAATTACAGCTTTTGTTCTGTTTATGAATTGATTTTTATATGTATGTATGCCCTTGTTTAGTTCTACTTTTTTTTTCCGTTTTACTTGTCTCTCTTTTTTGAGAGCATCCGAGCAAAGGAATGAATGGAGAACCATGATCGCTGATGTCTGTCGCAGATCTGGCACTGGATGATGATGATGATTACTTGTCTCTGTGTTGTTTCTGTCTTTCTTATTCCTCTTAACTCACTGACTACTGGCCCCTTTCACCAGTACTGGCATTTTGGGGGATATTTCAAAACACCACCACAACTCTAAGAATTACCCTATTCTATTGTAATTATTTTTTGACTCAGTAAAGTTACTTTCAAACTCAATCTATTGCAAAAAATTAAGTTGTCTAGGTCTAATACTTAAATTTTTATAATTATTTCCAAATTGGCATGAATTTGATTTTTCTAAAAATTTCCAGAGACATAACAGATAGAGAATGAAAAAAATAATGAAATTCTCAACAACAACGAAAATAAAAGTTCAAAGTGTTCTGTTTTGATTTGTATCCATGTGTGAGTTTTTGGTGAATTATAAAAGCTGGTCTGTGCATTGACATTGACATCTCGAGTTCTTATGCCCAGTAGAATTGTAATTGTAAATGGGCTGATTCATCAATGTCTTGCTCATAACTGTGCCTGAACTTCGACATGGAACTGCTGCTTTTTCTTTCCTAATCCTTAATATCGTCATTTTTCCTCTACTTCTTTTGTATGTTTGTCACATTTTTGTGACCCTCTATTTCCGGGGTGCCTTGATAGTTGAAATAGACTTTGTGCTGTTGAAGCTAGAGAGATGAGCAGAGTATGTCTGATTCCCTATAAGGACTTCTTTGTTGACATCCACCCCTTGGCGCTCATATGACTTTATGTAGTTGTGAGCGCCGTAAAACCTCTACTAAAACTAAACTTTAAAAAATTGCTCTTTACTTTCACAAATTATTCACTGTTATTATAGTCTATTGCTGTTTTCTTCTGCTCTTCACTGATTACTTTGTTGTTCTCCCTCTTTGTGGGTGTTTCATAATCATCTCAAGTTGAATGGTTTGTCAATATCTCAGACAGGCGAAGAAAAAGTCATGGTAAATCCGACTCTTTCACTATACAAGCTTTGTAAAAGTAATTTGTGCCTCATATATATATATGTATTATGAGTATGTCTGCTTAAAAGATACATATATGACAGCAGCGTGTAATAAGATAGATCAATGCCTTAACTTCATTCTAGCGCTTAACGAGGTAACAAATTTCTGCATATATATAGTTTTCAATTAAAAGAACTAAAGCTATGCTTTAAGGGAAAAAACGCAACTGAAAACATTTTTTATCGCAAATCTTTACAGGGCAAGAGGATTTGATGTGAAATGGGTTGATGACACACGTGCTTTAGGTGTCTTTTCAAGTGCTGTTGCAGGTAAGACTGCTACTTTTCAGCAATAAAGTAAAATTTGTTTGAACAATCTTTTGTGGTTGAAGTAAAAGCCAGAAAAAGTAAAGGATTTTTACTTCTTTATCTGTATTCAGATAAATAGCTTGGGAGGTGCACTTATTTGTTACCTTCGAGGTTTTTTTCCTTTTCTTTTTTCCTTTTCCCTCTCTCTCTCTCTCTCTCTCTCTCTCTCTCTCTCTCTCTCTCTCTCTCTCTGTATATGTGTGTGTGTGATCTATTTTTATTTCAAGAAGAGTTGACAGCCTTTAATAAACAGAAGAGTTGACAGCCTTTAATAAACCAGACTAAAGGCAGTATATTCATTTTTTCCCATAACTGTGCTGCTCAGCGCAGTTGTATTCACAGTATTGAGTGTTCTGTCCTAATCATTAGCCAAAGAGCAGTCAGAGTATTTAATTTTAATTGAAGTTTTCTTTATGTTTACTTTTCTTTCTTTCTCCTCCTCCCACCCCCACTCCCAATTTTTCAGCCAAAGAAGCCTTGCAAATGATGCATCCCCTCCTGAAAGTGCGGCCCATGTCACAAGCTTCGAAAAAAGGACAAAGTAAAGCAAAACATTGTCAGGGTAAGTCTTCATTTGTTTATGGTTTTGTGATGTTTCCCCTCAATAACCCTTCAATGTTAATCACTCAGCAACTAGTGTCAATATAATCTAGACTGAATGAGGGATCGGAAAGTACCGAAAGTAAAAAGTGCTCAGAGTGAGTGAAAATCAGTCTCCGAGGCCCTAGACCCGACCTGCGAGCTCCACTAAGGTTAAGGTATCTTAAAGCACTTAGAGCTGTATTGTATGGGAGTGAGGAGTTTAGAAATTATCTGCATAGTCATTATTGCTATTAATGTATTTTTCTTCACAAACTATATGCTTTTGATACTTTTTGTGCATATATATATAGATCTATATGTGCTAATTTTGTTGTTGTTTTTTTAATATATATATAAAAAATTTTTTTTTTTTTTTTTTTTTTAATTTTTGTTTGTTTGTTACTGCAGAGTTTCTTCAGCCATACAAAGCCCGTCCAGAGACAACATCTTTGGCAGCTCGGCGCTTGGTGGCTGGGGCTCTTGGCATGGCTCCTCGTGTGTCCAAGGAAGTCAGGGATAAGGAGCGCCAGAAACTGAAAGAAGCTAAAGGTACCAGTTTTATTGCTCTCGTTTCAGACAAGTTTCATGTTACAGCTCTTTTTACCACTGTGAAGGTAATGGGGGGGGGATTGGAATTTCTGTTTCTGTGAGCCATCATCACCTGTAACATAAAAACCGTACTAAATCTCATAGATGAAGACTATGATGAACCTGGGTTTTTTTTGTTTTTAACCTGATCATGCTATAGAACATGGGTGATCAGGTCTTGTGTAGTAAACAAATTGGTTAATAGATAAATATACAGGGTCTTTTTTTTCATTAAAAGAAAAATAAAAGGAGGTTTTTGTTGGACTCAGCTGCTATGGATTACACTCTCTTACTTGTATCACATATTAGTCGATGTTAAACCTGTCATGGCTTTATAAACCTGCTTTGGGGGCTCTGGTGGCATAGAGGTTAAGGTGTTCACCTCTCATTCAAAGGTCCCGGGTTCAAATCCGGATAGCGACGGAAATTTTTCTTCTATAAAATAGTCTCCTTTCACTTTCACCTCCTTTTCTGCTCTCTAGCAATGTTCTGTCATCTGCTTTCGTCTCAACTTTCTGCCCCAACCCCGTCACATCCTTTGCCCCCTCCTCTGGCCTCCTGACTCTGTCTGCAGCCTTTCTACTGCTACTCCATAGCTCCTTCTTACTGCTATATTTCAGCCACGCCCCTGATCTTCTGGTAGAAAAGATCTATACCTAGCCTTCTCGGACAAAGGCAAAAAATCTTGGAGGTCCCGTGTGCAAGATGCGCACGTTAAAGATCTCTTGGTGATCTAAAATCGATACGAGTAGGCTTCGGCTGCCACCCGAGCAAAATTCAAAATTTCCTACCAACTGAAAAAGTTTGATGTGTTCCGCGCGCTCATATTAGGTAGCGTAAACACGGCCTCGCGGGCACTCGCGGCCTTCCGACAGCGTGGTATCGGTGAAATCGGGGTAATTCCAATCGCTGTTTCTTTGCTCTTTCGTTATTAAACACCAAATGCCACACACCTTGTAAAAGTTCAGCTTTTCCTCGTTACAATGGTGTAAGTTGTTTATTTGTCCGATTATTAGGAGCTGGAGAATCGCTGACGAAAGCGAAGCCCCTCACAGTTGGAATGCGTGGTCGGCCTGTTCAAAAATTGACAGGCATGCATTCAAATGCTTCGTGGAACGAGGGATGATTAAACACCGTCTTTTCATTGGCGGAGAACTATAGAGCTTTAAACGGGCTTTCCCGTGGTATATATTTGGCCTTTGGCGTTTAAATAGAAAGCTTTTAAAAATACTGTTGATATGTTTAAAGATCACTTTTTACACAAAATATGTAAAATACCGGCTTAAAAAAGATATCACTATCAGTTAAAAGATCAGCTCATTTCCTATTAGAATAATAAAGTAATCAACTTGGAATTATTTTTCATCAATCCTTCCTCGAGACTCGAAAAGCATGTGACCCCGCACGTGGGGTACACTACAGTATAGAGCCGACTCGCCGCGGGGGCCGATGCGGTGCCGGCCGGGTCAACGCTCGGTGTTTTTGTCGAAATAACGATAGGTCATCGTGTTTGAGGTGATAAAATACTGATTTGTAATGATCTCAGTCTTGAAAAAATTTAGGCTCCATATCTATGTTATAATGATTTAACTCCTTGTGGAGATGTTTAGTGGGCTTGGTACTCTTTTATTGTCTGTCAAACATGGGGTTGCAGCCAGTGACTGACTTTAACAAATTTGATCAAATTTTAAACAACTACCATTTTCTTAAAAATTGACGGAGAGGTTAAAGAATGGTACCAAAATGCTCAGTGGATATAGGCCTTTCAAATGGAAAAGATAAATTTGGCATGCAGCTACTTTGAAAATTTAGTTTCTAGTACCTACTCATATATGAACTTATGCAGCTGCGAGCTCTGTAAAACACTTACCAAAAAAACATTTTTAAAAACCTGCTTTGTGTTTTTTCTAAACGTGTGTATCAAAGCTGGAAAACAGGAACCCAGGGCTCATAGCTTTCAGTCCTTTTGTTCTCCTATGTTTTTGTAGCATTAACTATTTTCTTACTCCATGGTGATATGACATCTGTGAATATAGGCCGTAGCTAAAAAGGGTGAAACTGAATTTATGAAACTATTGAAAGACAAATTCTTTTTTTTGTTTTAAGTGTTTTCATATCAGTTGAAGATCCCTTCATTCTTTTAGTCCAGCTGTTGAAGTAACTGAAGAGAGATTAATTTACTTTGTGTTTCAGAAAAACGAAGACAAGAAAGACAGCAAAAGAATGACATCTGGGATGGTTCCTTTGGAAAATGTGCCATGGACGACTGACACTGAAGTCATTTATGGATTATTTGAGACTGAAAGGCTGTTGAAAGTAGTTTTGTTCATGTTGTGGACTTGTTCTGTGCATTTACATTATCTTCGTAAATGAAATGAAATGTTCTGAAATTTTACTCATCACGATTATTTGAGACTGAAAGGCTGTTGAAAGTAGTTTTGTTCATGTTTTGGACTTGTTCTGCGCATTTACATTATCTTCGTAAATGAAATGAAATGAAATGTTCTGAAATTTTACTCATCACATGCATAGAATAATTTATGATTGCTTTTGTTTATTGTGATATGAAGTACTTTGTGGCATTACTTTGGTCAGTAGAAACATGCGGTGAAACTTTTCTGTTGTCTCTGAGCTTCAAACTAAAACTTTGAGTTATTGACTTACATAAATGACATATATCAAATTTGGTCATGCCCCTTTCTCATTCAGAGTTTGAATCCCTTGATCTAGGTCTGCTTGTTGTATTTAACTGAAACACCAATCCCCCAATCCAGTGTTGTTCCTTGCCAGTACATAATGGAGCCTTTTAACTGCTACCTCCTTTCCTCAAATGCAGTCAATGATATGAGGAAGCTGAATTACTCAAGAATGTCGGTATATATGATGTTCTTTCAAATGTGATCAAGACATTGTTCTAAGTTTAAGCTTTCCCCGCCCCATTATTTCCAGGAACTTATGATGGTTTAGTATCAAATTGACCAAAACAAGTGTGAGAAAGAATGAACATGCTCATGCAAAATTTCGTTCTTGGGGGAAAGGGCATAGGGCTCAGCAGTTTTGCCCTTCCAAATTTACAAAAGCTAACGGTATCACATGATACAAGTGAGAGTTTATTTTACTTCTCCTCTCCATTTGTTTTTTGTGAGATGCTCTTTTGCCTCTGTTGTTTAATGAGAATGAGAGAAGGTTGATTAGGTATTGCTTTTTAACAGGTTTATTTAGGGTTTTTTATGTTTTGGGCATTAAAGTTAAAATTAATGTTGAAGATTTGAGATGAGTTTGCTTGCACACTCTTTATTTATTTAATTTTAAGTTGGTTTAAGAAAAATCTAATAGACAAATAAAGATTTGAACACCAATTTTCATCACTGACTTCCTTGTGGTCAATGTTTGAGGGCATGTGTGCTAGCACTATTCATGGTATAACTATTTTGAGTTCAGACTAGTGCATCGTTTTGTAGACGGTGGCTTCTCTCAGTTATGTCTTCCTCTAATCAAAAATCGATTGAAGCAGATTTTCTTTAACAGATCAGTCTGATTGCATGATGATTCACGTTTCATCCATGAAGACTTTTCTACATGTGTTTTAGCCATGAAGTACCTCTACTGATCGTTTCATCTCATTAAATTTTAGTTTACATATTTTGTATCATTTTGTTGGAATTGTTTCAGTGTTGCCATAGGGTCAGCTGCCTTAACTTTCTTCTTTGTTGAAGTCATAATATAAGCTTCAGCATGTTTCCTCATTTCAGTCGATGGGTAGTGCGTTGTAGTACTTATACGTGCAGGTCTGAAGGCTGTACATCGGTGAAAAATAATGCTTCACAGTCACAGAATCCATGCTCCGTTGCTGGTTTGTCTTGTTTCCCAGCATAACAAATTTGCTGTTTCTTTTAGATGTGTAGTTTATGAATGTCAGTTACAAGTGGTTCACATCATCAACAAAACTTCAAATTTACCAGAGATGCTGAAAATAAAACAAATACAGTTAAAAAGATGCTTAGTTAGGTGTTGGTTTCACAACACTTTATAACTTAACCACATGGTCATTTAACTCTTCTTAGTGGCTTGCCACTTTAACTGGCACACAGCATCATTCAGTTGCTTACAGTCATAACTACCTCCAGCCAACCCATCATGAAATCATATTATTTGTTGCATGGATCCTTCATTTCTACTCAATTTGATGTTTATTTTACTCAAATAGGTTAAAAAGGGGGCAGAGTTTGGGAAGTTTGTGATACTGAAAACTTAGATGATATAACTGGCTGCATACATGAGTGGAAGAGCCTTCCTTATAATATATTAAAGAGTTAAGAGAAGAAGTCATGGGGATTAAAACCCATCTCCAGTAGGATCAAGTCATGGTGGGAGAAACTTGAAAACACCCCAGACAACCTAGATTTATATGCCTGTTGTTTTGAACCCAACTTCGCCACACCGCAATCCAACATAAAACCAACTGAGCTAATGATATGCCCTCTGAAACCTCAGAAACATGTGATATACTCAGGATCGGACACAGCTAGGCAACTATTGAAGTACATTAGTGAGACATCATGGTGAAATCAGGTGCTCATCAAAATGAAATCCATGAAACCATCATTTTTCTGGCTGTTGGGCAATTTTTCTTCTTTTTTTTTCTTTTTTGGCACAACACTTTTTATGTCCATTTTAAAACACATTTCTTTGTGAATTTTACTGAAAAGCATTGATCAATGGCACAAAATATTTAAATTTAGTTTCCAAGGACACTCAAGTTTTGGAAGTCACAATACTTTGGTGGCCATTCTTTCTTGCTAATTTTACCTCTGACACTAGGCAACCCTCACCTCCTTCAACTTCAATTGCCAATATCTCGACTTCCATTAAAGATTAGTGGATACTTTATTCAGCAAAAGCTAAATGTACAGCTTTAAGACACTGACACCAAAAAACTCCAAGCCAAACGCCCAAAGTTGACGAGCGCCTCATTCCACTGCGTGGTGATGGTGGATGTGCCGTGGTTACATTGGACAAAGGCCTATATGATAACTCTATGATCTACTTTCTAATGTGGAGAGGGTATTGAGATTGAGATGAACCCCCTTAAAATGTGTATACCACTTTTACTGTACTAGTATTACTTTTACGAGATAAAATTGAAAATATACATCTTCCAGTTCAGTTAATGATTTCATAAAAATACATGCATGTACACTTATGTAACACAAAGGCCCATAGTGGTCTCTTTTTGTTGTACAATGAAGCAGCCAGTTAGTTCATTTATTTAAAGTGCTTATTTTGTTCCTTACTTTTCAAACTTGACATAAAACTGAAACACAGAAAACCCTTTAATTTTAATTGTAAAATTTAGTAATTTATACACGTGGATATGAAGCAGACCAGGGTAGCTGGTCTACCTTGCAGTACCTACATACATAGGCGGAAACTAGTTTTGTATGAGTTCCTCTAGTGGGGGAGGGGGGGGGGCAGAGTAGGATAGTAGGCTACCAGGACCTTCCAGGTTTACTGACAAATCGAAATATATATATATATTGTTTCTGTTGTTGTTGTTTTTTGTAATTTTAGTGATGGTTCGAAATGAGCCTGAAATCTGCCTTCGGTCTGCTGACCAGACATGTCAGTGTGTCAAAAGTTATCCCCCCGCCCCTTCTGGCTACTATTTATACATGTGTTCAAGTGCTAGCTTTCCAGTGTGTTCGTGTTTGAAATGAGGAAAAGCGACAAGATGGGACCTTCTGTTTACCAAAATGGAACTCCAGACGCCAAATGTATGATGTAGGCTACCATAAGTATCTGGGTCAGCGATTCCATTGGGCTACACGCAATGCTGAGAATCGCGGTAAAACAGGAGCAAGTAAAGAGGAAATATTTACTTGTACATTTATTTTATTTTTTCTTTACACAGAACAGGATTCGAATTCTGAACAGTTTTTTTGTTCCCAATCATCGAGAAGAGAGGGGGGGGGGGGTCAATTTCAATACAAACGGAACCTTACAGTTAGAGGAGGCCTAATATAGCGAGAGAAAGGGAGGGGGGAGGGACGCGATACCAATGAATCTCTTCCGAGATTTGCTGACTTGTCTGAAACGGCAAGGGAGAACGGGTATGGAAATGGAACCTTACTTCTTATTCGTCACGAGCAAAAATAATGTCGGGCATTCTTACGTATGTGACTGATAGAGCAGTAGCACAACACTAAAGCAAAAATAAGGATTCACAAAAAGACATACCTGCTCTGCATCTGGGCATAATAATAATAATAAATTTAGTTAATTGAATGACCCTTTCATTGAGAGAGGGCTCTCGTGGTCTTTTGTTTTAATACGGTTTTACGGCGCTCGCAACTACATAATGGTTATTATATGAGTACATGTATTATGAGCGCTAAGGGGTAGATGTCAACAGAGAAGTCCAAACGGGGAATCAGGCTTACTCTGCTCACCTCTCTAGCCTCAACAGCACAAGTGTGACAAGTCACAAAGTCTGTTTCGACTACCAAGGCACCCCAGAAACAACAGTTCACCAGAGAGTGACAAACATGATACAAAAGAAATATCGTAGAGGAAAATGACGATAGTAAGTAATAGTAGTGATGAGGAAAGAAAAAGCAGCAGCCCCGTATGTTGTTCCGGCACAGTATGAGCATGAAATTGATGATGATAAATCAGCCCATTTACAATTCTCTATGCATAAACACGTATGCTAATATCATCCCTTTGGGAATGGCCGAAAGACAACGGTACCGGTACTTCAGTCAGTAGCACTGCCCTGGAGTGGGGGGGGGGGGGGGGGGGGTGTTCGTCTCTTATTCAATAGGTCGTGGGTTCGAATCCGGATAGCGATGGAAAATGTTCTTTTCTAAAATTTTCTCCTTTCCTGTTCTCTAAGTACTTAGACTCTAAGTACGTACTTTAACACTTTAACAATGTTCTGCCGTCTGCTTTCGTCTCCACTTCTGCCACACCTACTTTGCCCCCTCCTCTGGGCTCCTGACTCTCTCTGCAGCCTTTCTACTGCTACATGACATGTACTCCTTGGCCCCTTCTTACTGCTGTCTTTCAGCCACACCCCTGATCTTCAAAGATATACAACTAGCTTTCTCGGATAAGGGGTGGGGGGTGTTCGCCTCTCATTCAATAGGTCGTGGGTTCGAATCCGGATAGCGATAGAAAATGTTCTTCTCTAAAATTTTCTCCTTTACTGTTCTCTAAGTACGTACTTTAACAATGTTCTGTCGTCTGCTTTCGTCTCCACTTCTGCCACACCTACTTTGCCCCCTCCTCAGGGCTCCTGACTCTCTCTGCAGCCTTTCTACTGCTACAATGTACTCCTTGGCCCCTTCTTACTGCTGTCTTTCAGCCGCACCCCTGATCTTCAAAGATATACAACTAGCTTTCTCGGATAAGGGCGTAAAATCTCGGAGGTCCCATGTGCAAGTTGTGCATGTTAAAGATCCTTTGGTGGTCCAAATTCGATAATAAGAGTAGGCTTCGGCGGCCACTCGGGCAAAAATCAACATTTCCTACCAAATGAAAATGTTTAATGTGTACCTCGCGCTCATATGACCTTTTGCAGTTGCGAGCGCCGTAAAACACTTACCAAAAAAAATTAAAAATAAATAATAATTGAGATTGAGATTTTTTAAAAACGGGGTTGAATTTTAAGTGCAGTCCGGACAGTGAACTATGACCTCTGAACTGTGGCTTTCACCTCTTTTGTTATGGTCCTGAGTGCTGATGCCGTGTAAAGAGCTTCGACAATGCTGGCTCTTCTCAATCCTGAGTCTTTAATTTTTTACTATTTTGAAAAATTGGCACCCACACGCATTAATACACTTCAAGCTCATGTTTGCACCAGGGATGAGAAGCTGACCTGGCCTGCTCCTTTCTAAACTCTAGATTCTAGATCTAGATCTAGATTATTGGATTTTCATTCCGTCCCCAAACCTGTGCCTGTGGGCCAGTCGTGTACTGTGTGTGTAGCAATGACAATGGTGTTTATATGTTATCATCATTGAGAGTAGTGTGTCTGTTGTCGAAGGATTTTTCTAAACTCAAACCAAACTTGATAGAACCAATGATGATACATAACATTATATGTATCATCATTGATAAAACATCGGCTAGCAGAACATGCCATACAACAGGTTATCGAGGGTATGCAGACACTGAGTCAGAATAAATCTGCTTACTTTAAACGAAGTGACTATTTCTCAGAATGTTCGGGAAAAATAAACTTGAACTCTATTTCTCCTAACTGTTTCCGTTCTCGATATTTTTTGGTTATTTGCGAGATTTAGGCATCTCCTTTCATTGTGCCATTCTGCGTGGACTGGGAAGAAGCTTATTTTTTGTATCAAATTCAATTTCTAGAGCTAGAGATTTTTAAATGTCTAAATATTCAGATACTTCAGTTGTGGTTAGGGCAACGCTCCCGGACTATACTTCATTTGAAAATACCTTCAAAATGTACTGCGAGAAAACAAGACTAATTATCGACCTTGAGTAACTTATTTTGCATTTAGTCACTCAGCAAAAACTAAAATCCTTCATGTAAAAAAAAAATCCCGCCCCTCCCCCTCCCACCCCCATGTCTCGTTCACACCTTATAGACACACCACATGCACACACGTCACACACACACACACACACACACACACACATACACACTCATACGGGCCACTCCATTCGCAATTATTATCTACAAATCTCGAGAATGGAAACCGTTCAGAGAAATAGAGTTCAAGTTTATTTTCCTGAACGTTCGGAGAAATAGAGCCAGCCTTTATTAAATTACTGTGGGTGTCGCGTTCGACGAGATTACATTCATCAACGAGAAGTCGGCTCCAACAAGGCAATCCTTAATCCCCGTTTTTTTTCCTCTATATATCTCTTTGTAAATGTACGTCAGCTCCAATGAGGTTGCAAACCGACCGAAGTCGCTTTCAACGAGGTCGCGATATAAAAGCAATCAGCGGCCCTAAAAACGAAGAATTTTTCTCCTTTCTCTCCATCTCATGCAAGCTCAAGGCCCATCCTCGATTCCTAACACATTGTATTGCTAGATCTAGTGTGACTCATAATGTGCCCCAAAGCCAAGAGGATGGGTGAGGGTTGGCCTACAGTAGGGATGGAAGGGGGTGGTTGGGAACGCGATGCGGGCTGTGTCAAACTGGATGAACTCTGGATGGGTAGGTCTTTTTTTTTTTATAGTAAAGGGTTTTACGGCGCTCGCAACTGCATAAGGTCATATGAGCACCTATGGGTAGGTCTAGATCGAGACCATTTTTTTTTCAATTTTCTTTTCTTCCCCTGATCAGATAATACAAGCTCCTGCCTTTACTTTATGTAGATCTAGGCCTAAATGTGAGAGGGTATGTGTCCCCACAAGAAGTGTTCAGAAAAAAAAAAAAATTTTTAATGCAGAAATGACGGTCACAACACTGCTCGAACACGCACACACTGATGCTGTTTGAGACTTTCGTCATCAGGGGGAACAACTGTTTTAATTACTGGTATTGGTACATTGTGTAATATAACAACTTGTCTTCTTTCTTTTCTTAAGCCTTAGTCACGTTTAACGAGAGGTCGGATCCAACGAGGACAACAAGCCGGTCCCGGCAACCTCGGTGCGATACCCACTGTGCAAATTTCTTCTCTAGATCCATATCAAGTATACCAACCAAGAGTGACTACGATCTCAAGCTGAAAAAGCAAATTTATTCTATTTAAGTATGGAAATCAGTCAGGAAGACGTAGTTGGCTTTGTAGGTAATGTTTTTTGCAAGAGGGTCCAAATTGTCAAGAGACTGTTATCATACGTGGACATAAACTGGCTTGTTGAAGAAAGTGAAACAGGATTCAATTATGTGTGCAAAATTTTGAAAAATAGAGCGTTAGAAGAAAAGAACAGTAAGATTAAGCAGCAAATAGACTGCGTTCTGCATCTCAAGAAGCACGGATTCAAGTGTTCAGAATTTGTAGCAGGGAAAGATGGATCATTTCTACAAACGTATAAGTACACAGGTGAGGTCTGTTGTATAGGCCTATTGTTGTCTGCTTTAGATATAGGCTACAGTTTTGGGGTATTATTTTACTTTTGCAGCCTTTTCATATATATTCAGAATTCAATAGAAGCACTTTTCTTGTTCCTTTTCATCCTTTTTACAGACACGAATATGTACAATATAAAGTATAACACTGATAGCTCGAATTCGTCGGGACAGACCTTTGTAGTTCAAGGGATCTGTAGTTCAAGGGATATTTTACAAAGATAGAGAAGAAATTAAAAAACGGGACATTTCGACGGTTGCATGATTTCAAATCTGCTGTGTTCGACCTATCCATATTGTACTGCATTCAACTTTATATTCATGCGCAAAATTTATAGTTAAAAAAATATCAAATGTTAAATGTTTTATGCCTTTATACAAACCATATTACAACAAGCCCAATTATGTAGTAATATTTCATGTGTTTTTAATGAACTGAAGCTGGGTTTCACTGACCTGAAAAAAACTAGGGTTGTTTTTGTTGCGTTTTTGGGGGGGGGGGGGGGGGAGGGGGAGGGGGGGGTTCACTAATCAAATATAATGTTTGCCTATTTTTAACCATGAGACACTAATTATTGGCAGTTAGATATCATTGATAAGTTTATATTTGTTATCTGATCTATAAATTGATGTATGATTTTTTTTTATGAGAGTTGCTATTGATGGTCACTTGGTTTGATTTTTTCTTTTCCGAGGACTTGATGGACAAAGTTTCAGTCTTTTGGGCTTTCTGTATTCTTTCATCCCTGGGACTGAACTTGAAAGTACTGGTTGTGTGAATGAATGTGCGGTAATATTTGAGCTGGGAATGCTGTTAGGACATTTTCATCACACGTTAAAAGTAAGTACAACATTGTTGTGTTGAAGCTGTGAAATTAAATTAGAAGTCTCTTAACCCTGTCCGTACATTGTTTTTACTATCGTATCCATACAACGTAGGGCTGTGCTCGTTAATCCAATCCGTACGCTTTGCCTAGCAGTCTGTCAAAACGATTTTTGGAGAAATATTGAAAGTTTCAAAGAGATCTTCGTACTAGAAGTATTTTAAAATGTGAAGAATACAACCCCGGAGGTACAAAGAGACCCCAGGGTGTACGGATAGGGTTCATATGTTACATCTTGTTTTGAAATGACAGTCACTACAGTTGATTTGAACAAGGGCCCCAGAATAACACCTACATAAATATGGCGTTTTCATTTTAGTGAAATGATTTGCTCACAAATTTAGTCACACATTGTACAAATTGAAAGTTTAAATGTGGACAGGAAAATCTGAAATTGTCAGATCTATTATAAAGACTTATAGATTGAAATCTCTTTATTAAATATACCATCAGTATTTTTTTGGCCAATACCCTAGCAAAGATGTGTTAGTGCTGTATGCTCCATGAAGAATATACTTTAAAATAACTTTTGTTTTAAAATGTAGAAATGTTTTTATGCCTCCATCAACACAGTTTAAATCATTTAGGAGGCGGGTGTCTGACCCACTGTATCACGGTCAATCCTGGTTGAGAGGAATACAACATCCCAGCAGAAACATTGAGATGCTCGATGAAAATCACTCCCCACTTGGAAATCAAACTCAGATCCCCTGCGTTGGACTGCAAAGCACTTAAGCTCTATTCCATAGATGCTGGTGGAGAAACAGTATAACACGGAGGTTGAACACTGAAGACTCCAAATCTCGCATCCGTCGAACTGTGCCTGCGGTCCCATTTTTTTCTTCTTTATCTTTGTAAGATCCCTTAAACTATGGATCCCTCGAACTACCGAGGACGATCCCGACGAATTCGAGCTATCCGTGTTATACTGTACTTCCTCGTACCTTACACGTTGGTGAATATGTTAAAAACAAATAGAGGACGCAAACAAAAGGTCATTATGTATTGAACATTTATAAAGCTGGGTATGTGTGTTTTTAGAAAGGTATAATTTTCTTTGTCTTTGTCTATTTAAGTCACATAATAAGGAATTGGTTGAAAGCTGATTCTCAATACAGTGGAAACCATATAACAGGCCCGGTTATAGCAGAGATCCGGTAATAACATTTTTAAAATCCCCGTTTTTTCCTACTCTTTGTCTCTATTAAAAGTTATCGGCAATAACAGGGCCTCATCGGAGCCCAATCAGTTTTAGCAGGGACAGAGGCTTGTTAACTCTATATGTAAAAAGTAAGGGAGAGAGGAAGAGAGAGAGAGAGAGAAAGAGAGAGAGAGAGAGAGAGAAAGTAATGCCGTGATGGAGCAAGAACATGCAAGCCACGCCACTGCAAGCACACGCAGTGGGTGAAGCGAGAGAGGGCTGCGGTGTGCTGCAGACTTCGATCTAGCCCTAAGCCTAGCTACACGCACACATAATGTGTCATGAGCAGGCCTGCCACATGGCTATGAGAGAGGGCTGGATTAGTCCACATATGCTTCTTTCCCTTACATTTCTGATTTTACAGGGATCTGATATAACAGGACTTTTTCTCTGGTCCCACCATCCCTGTTATATCAGGTTTCCACTGTAACTTCATGGAAAGTGAAGCTATTATCAATAATCACCCTACTTGGATGAATTGTACCAAAGATAGTAAATAACAAGGTGAGCCACTCAGCCAAAAAAGTGTCCGCAGGAAGTATGCCCTTTGCTTCAGATGGCGCTGCAGTCTGTTTTGAAGCTCTCTTTCGTTTTTCCAGAAGAAGATTAGGAATAGCACCTCCTTGCGTGCGCAGATCGACTGCTGTTCATCAGCAGTTTGGGTACGTTCAGTGCGTAGTTTTAGGGGTTTTTTTTATTTTAATGACCTCTCGCCTTTCATTCTAAAGTCAAATTAAACGAAGAAAACCATCACCCTTTCCTCCCGAAGAGGTTTTTTGTCAGCGTAACCATTAAAAAAAAGCGTTCTTCCGAAATTTATCCCAAAACATGCTAGTTTCACTTTGATTTTTAAAAACTCAAGTAGGGTAACTCTGTTCGCAAAGAGTGCGCTTTTGTGAAGAGGGCGCCACCAAATTTTGAGGACACTTTTTTAATTGGCTCAAAGAGAGAAGTGGCCCATCTTGTTATGTACTATCATTGATTGTACATAACAGCTTGCACTAAGAAAATTAATTCCATCTTTTTAGACAACAAACATCCCTTGTTCCCTCAAATAAAAACATCAGTCAGATGTGTGTGTGTGTGTGTACTCGTGGTGGAACACCAAACCAATGTGCCAGGATCTGGACAATAAAGATGTATCTTATCTTATAACGAATAATACATCACTGATAAATAGATGCTAATTCTGTTCAATTGGTTTTTTTTGTATTTTTATGAGCAGTAACCATCTTTAGAAGAATTGTGTTTTCCATATAAACTCATGCGATCTGATTTTTTACTTTTATAGGACTTGCCTCATGATAACTTACTGCCGGACCTGGAGGAACCATGGTACATGTCAAATATAGGCCTCCTTTCCGATATGGAGTATTTGCAGGTTATCGAGGTACTGTTACTAAAAGTTATGAGAATATATTACACACATTTTCTTGTCAGTAAAGCAATTTTAAAAATAAACTCTGACATTAAAATGTCTGTATGTGATTAGTAAGAGTAGGGGCACAGTATTTTTTAAATTTTGAAAGTACATTTTACACCAATGTTTCTCAACACCTCCCCCCCCCCTTTCCTATACACATGCTGTGGGTTTGCTGATTATACCTCTTGTGAATTATTAGAGAGAAACTATGTTTGTCCCACTAATCTGAAGAACTATGCACATGAAATCACTGTACACTCATGACTATTGACTCATACGCATTTAATATTCTTTCAATCATAAACTTTGAATTAACTTTTCCAGAACATCCCTAGATCTGTTCTACCCTTAATATGTATTGTCTTTTGCTTTTTATCTTTTTCTAATCAGGAGCTAAAGTGTAAGTGAATCCACCTTTGTTTGCTAGTTATTGCATATTTTACTGAGCTCATATTTCTCTAGTTTGTGTTTTTGAAGTTCTTGGTACATTCTTCATAAGCTTATATATATATATATCACCAAATCTTAAAGCATTGTCATAATTTTACTTGTGTGATGTTCAGAATTATGGTTGATATCCAAAGCAGAGATGTCTGCAGTTTCATAATGCATACCTGTATTATATGTTCAGTCAAGGCGGGATTTTAATCAGGGAATATATATTTAAGCCCTTATTTATTTGCCTTAAAAGGCTATATTTTATTGTGTAAAAGACCTTTGATTTTTGTTAACTAAATTGTGGTGTGTTTCAGGATGGCCCACAGCGTATAAGGCTCAAAGCTATGATAGAAGAAATTGACTCGACTTTTTCAGCTGTTCAAGACAGGTTGAGTAAAGGTGAAAATTTTTTTTATCTTTCTTAATTCTTATCAGTTTTAGTTGGTATTCCTTATTATTTTTAAAAAGAATTTATTGCAAAACTCACTAGAGCCCCCAAAATGAGATTATGATCTATACGTGTGTTATAGTCTGTCCTCAGAGGATTTCACGCCCGCAACCCGCAACTTGCGGGCTCGCAACTTTTGCCCTTTTGCGCAACTTTTGCCGTTTTGGTGAGTTTGTGAATTTTAGCCAATTTTCTGCAAAATTTGGGAAAATAATAATAAAATTTCGTTAATGAGCGGGTGAAACTTTCTTCGACGACTAAAAATAACGACGCCATGGGGGACAGTTCGTACCAGAAATACCACTTCCTTTGTCTTCTTAGTCCTGTTTATACAAGAAGCGGATTGTTGAGAGAGAGAGGCATTCACCTGGACTGAATCGTCTTCTAGCTTGATATCTATCTACAGTAAATCAATCGTAAACACGATGTTGTGCCATCTCTTTCTGGTGTGGCTTTGCGCTACTTTTTTTCCACATGCACATCAGGAGAAGTGGAGAGAAGCTTCTCTCTTTACACATCGCTCGTTTACTGTGGGCGTAGATCTCAGTCCGAAGAAACAAGCATGTCCCTTTTATTCCTGTGGTACAACCATTTGCGGATATTGATTTTTTTCAATTGAATTTTTCATTTTGTTTCTAGATCTAGTCTACTTTGTATCCTGCGTAAAGACTTTTCCAAAGAACATTTTTATGAAAATCTATGTCAATAGATTTCTATATTTCATACATATGACATTTGCTCATGCACCATCAAGTTTTTTTACAGACATTCACTTTAACTTTTGGTTTTGATTCAACAAAACTCATATATTGGTTACTTTGATTGCAATGAGCTTTCCAACAATGTATTCCATGACCTTTTATTAGCTATTCGCGTCTTGCATCTGTTCTTGCAACTTTTGCTAATTTTTCTTTCAATTTTTTTCAACTTTTGCTATCTTCAAATGCAACTCTCTCCGGGGACAGAATAGTATGTTGAGCTTAATTTCCCCCTGAAAATCCCACAAAGACTCTGTATTTGTTATGTTTTTGTTTAACCCTTTTCCTATGGGCTTTCGTAGCTTAGAGGTTAAGGTGTTGGCCTCTCATTCAAAGGTCCCGGGTTCGAATCCGGGTAGCGACTGAAAAATTTTCTTCGCTAAAATTGTCTCCTTTCACCTCCTTTCCTGCTCTCTAGCAATGTTCTGTCGTCTGTTTTCGTCTCCTCTTTCTGCCCCCATCCCCCTCACCTCCTTTGCCCCCTCCTCTGGGTTCCTGACTCTTTCTGCAGCCTTTCTACTGCAACTCCTTGGCTCCTTCTTACTGCTGTCTTTCCTCCAAACCCCTGATCTTCTGGTAGGAAAGATCTACACTTAGCCTTCTCGGACAAGGGCGAAAAATCTCTGAGAGCCCGTGTGCAAGTTGTGCACGTTAAAGATCCTTTGGTGGTCTAAAATCAATAAGAGTAAGCTTCGGCCGCCACCCGCGCAAAATTCAAAATTTTCTACCAACTGAAAAAGTTTAATGTGTCCCATGCGCTCATATGACCTTATGCAGTTGCGTAAAACACTTGCCCAAAAAACCCACCCCTTTTCCTCTAAGTGGCTAGTGAGCCAATCCTATTTTGCAGAGTGCACCTTCTGATGAAAATGCAATCATTTACTTCCCAATAAACACTGAAAAGGACTCACTACACTCAAATTGCAAACAGTATTCTGTAAATAGATGTTAAATTTTCTAAAATGGGGTTGGGAGGGTGTCAATTAATTGGTTTGTGGATAGTTTGGTTGAGTGTTGTTTTCAACCATGCATTGTTTCAATTTGTGGGTGTGTGGTAACAAATTTTGAAGCTCAACTGATTGCACAAAAACAGCAATAATTTTTAGGATATTTACTTTTTTACTGGTAAAAAGTGACATGTACATTCAAAATTCAATGCAGATTGAATAAGTGACATATAAAAAACAGTTCCTTTGTAATGTATATTTTTACTAAGTTGATGGTTCTAAAATTTAATGGGGTTTCTAAATATATTTTTCTTATTCATCATTCATGTGTCCCCCCCCCCCCCCCTTTTTTTTTTTACTTCACAGGCATTCTTCACGGAGATTTCCATGGGTACAATCTAATTGTTGAGCACTCCTTTAACAGTCAGATGAGACGTTGTAGTTTGAAGTCTAATATTTTAAAAGAATTCAAGGCATTAAAGGAAGAACTTCGTATAAAAAATAACCCCAGCTCACTACCATCTTTTGCCTCCATTCTGCAACAGAAATGTAACAGACCTAGCTTTGAGGAAATTCTTGAAACTTATGGCATCATAGACTATGGGGAAGTTTCCTTTTCTTTCATTGTGTTAGAGGTTGGCCGACTTATTGTTGACCTGATGACTATTGTTTTATCAAAGCCTCCAAAGGAGGAGGGTGTTGATGTTTGCAAGTACCCAGTTTACTTTGAAAGTGATGTCAGTGAACAGCTTCACAGGGAAGTTTGTGTCAGGGAACCCTCCAAAAATGAACATATTCCTATCTCCGAAAACAGCATCACCAATTGTACCAAGGATTCCGTACAAAGTTGTGAAGCCAGGACTAAAATTCCTAAAGGAGAATCTGCAAAACAAACAAAATTGATGAAAACAGACAAAGAGAGTAGAACAGAACACTTTCTCCGTGATGTTGTTGGCCTCGGAGGGGTGGCTCTCAGTGGCTACTTGCTGACTAACACTCTCACAGATGTGGACATTTCAATCTTGAAGGCTTCTGTGATGAGCTCTCTTATTCAGTATTATATTTTAGGTGAGAATTTTTAGTGGTAATAGAGGTTAAAACATTTGGGAAATATTAGTTATCTGGGGTCTGAAAGATATCTTTATATAATTATCTCATGACTTGCAAAGGAATATTTTAGGATATTTCTCCAGTAAACACTTACCTGTTCATATACACATACAGTGGAGTCCACTTGAACCAAACACATTTAATCTGAAAATACCAGTAAACAGAAGACCACTAATAGAATCCGAGGTTGTGTCCTTCATTATTTGAGCAATATCTCTAAACTCAAAACATGGCGAAATTTTAAAAAAATCTGTTGGTCCTACCTATTTCAATTTATATGTACTTTACTGTATATTTAAAAACAAAATTCTCACTTTTTAAAAATAACTTCAATACAGGAAATAAGACAATGCTGGGAGAGGATTCTCTAATGCAGATTGAATGGAAGATATCCTGCTTCCAGTGTTGCGTGCATGAAAATACAAAATGTTATGAAGAAAATGTTTTTCAAACATTTGTTCATATACATAGTGAATCCTGTTATAACTAGAGGGAGGGGACTGGTGTAAAATATCCGTTATAGCGGGATTCTCCTTATAAGGGATCCTGCAATAAATTTAAGGGAAATATTAAAGTAGCCTAACCTAAGAGTTTGGTGTTCTATTTATTTCCTTTTGTTATCTCGCTGATGATGATTTTGTTCAACATGACCTCTAGGTCGTACTTGATCAAAAATAGAATCAGGTTTCTTTCTCTAGGGCTATCGATGTTGAAAGCTCGACATTGGCGATCAGAAAGAAAGGGCTCTAGGCTAACTCGCCCGCTGTGTTGTCCCCCACCCCACCACGCCCTGTGGTGCGTTCCGTCTGCTCACGCACATTGGGTACTCACCACACCCTTCCCACGTCACACATTCGCTCCATCCATCACAGCACTGTGACCTCTCCATCCCCACTTCGTAAAAGTGAGAGGCATGGTAGGCTTAAATAATTTAGACTGGGCTGACCTATCACGCGATGCGTACTGCTTGTCTGTGTATGCCACACCCTCCCCACTCATTCGCTCCGACCTTCATTGTTGGCGCCAGTGAGCTCTCCCATTCTTTGTTTCACTAGATCACCTTGTTTCTCAACTGGCAGGGTTTTACATATATGTATAATTGGCCTACACACTGTGCACAGTAGCAGCGATATTCCGCTATAACCGACTCGCGTGTTTGTCTGATTGCGCTATAGCAGTACTTTATTTACAAAGCTAAAGAAGCGAAAAAAGGGGTTTTAGAATAGTGTCTTCATAACAGACTTCTCGTCATTTCAGGACTCGTTATAAGTGGACTCTACTGTATCATGTTCATAGACACCTTACTGGCTGAAATATAATCTACTGCACATGTGAAAGGCTGCTTATCGATGGTGTTGCAAGCAGTTCACTTAGTCTGTTTGGGACAAAAAAATTGTTTTTGTTGTTTTGCTCCTATCAGGAATCATGAAAAGCAAGAGAATTGTAAGCCTTGATCATAGCATTAAACTGCATTTTGATGATGTTGTCATATGCTTCTTTGATGAAGCTTTAGAAAGATGGAAAAATCGAGAATTCTCAAAATTTGAAATTACGTGGATTGCTTGCGACAGAGACAATATAATATATATTTGTTTATTTTTAAGAAGTTCTTTATGTTTGTTTTTATTTAGATTTTTAAAATTTTGTTATTTGTGTAGTCACAGTCAAAAAGTTTTGTCTTGCAAAATCCCTCAGACTGAAATTGCTTTTTAGGGTAAGCTGTGTAATTTACCAATTAGTCTGAACCTTTTATGATTGTTGAATGAAGTATTTTCCAGAACCTTCAGGAGGAATGATATTATATAAAACATTTTTATAAATTTCCAGTAGGCTTAGTGTGAGGCAGTATAAAAAAACTTAATAAAAATTGCAAAAAGGTGGAAAAATGTTGGTTACTTCAATTTCATATTATTTATTTTGACAAACTCCTAATTTCATCAAAATGACACACAATTTTTATCCCTTATTCTCTTTACCTTGGAGACTAATAATACTTATATATTGTTTTTTGTTTTCATAGGCACCAAGGCCATGGCTGAGCAACCAGAAAACAGTCAGTATGTAGGCTTGGGTGCAGCCGAGGCAGAGAGACTTTTGTGGGTGATAGATTCTATGAGTCAAAATGAGCTGCATCAAGCCTGGATAGAAAGTGCAATCATATTTTTAACTTGATAATGGATAACTGTTGAAATGTTAAAAAATTTTGTGTGTGTGGTAACTGAACGGCAGGGAAATTGAGCACTTGATAAAATCCTGAAGTGGCGCGGAGCATCGCTCCAACTGGCTCAAAATGTTGGTCAAATAGCCTCCCCCCCAACTAGTACCTTTGCCTTCCTTGCTGTTAAACCTGTTTCTGTACAATCAGTGCCTGATGCATGAAACTGGCTTACTAAGGGTCTGAGGTAGCTGATGGTAAGAATATTCTGTTTGATGCAAAGTGTATTGTGCAAGATAATGAATACCGATACTCAAACACAGGGAGTCAGTTTCCTCTCATTGAGTCTGAGGTATCGTTATATATACTTATATACAAAACATATACATGTATGAACTATAATAAGCAATATCAGATTCAACGATACCTCAGACTCAATGAGAGGAAACTGACTCCCTGTGTTTGAGTATCGGTATTCATTATCTTGCACAATACATTTTGCATCAAACAGAATATATATATATACATATATATATATATGTTTGCGTGTATGTACATGTAAAGGAGGGAGATGGACTGTTTTTGTTAGACCTAAAGAAGTGTTTTAAGACCTAGTTATTATTGTAGAGGGTTGTGCAGGCCAAGGTACCTAGCTTGATTTAAAAAGGATACATTTTGGTGGGAAGGCCAGGATATAGCTTGAGATATTCTTGACACCTTATTTGAGAGGAATAAACTGTTTTGTATAACATGTATGACAAGTGTGAATGAAAATATTAGTGCAGAGGTTTCTTTTATCCTTCTAGATCTAATTAACTTTCTGACTCGGTTTTTCCAATTTTCAGATTACTTTTGTGATTACTGTGCATCACATGTACTTGCATGTATGTATATGAATAAATTCTACATCTGTATACATACCTGCATTTTTGTGAATTCATTTCAGTGGGGCAGGTGTTTGAATGTATTAGATAGGTTCTTAGAATAAAATGATGGTTCTTTAGCTGGGGTTGATGCTTGAAAACCAAGGTCTCAATGGGTGATTATAACTCCTAGGCCTTTGTGATAAGAAGCTCTCTCTTACTTTCATAGGTCCTCCATGAAATACTAATAGCCCTGGTGGGTGGCTGGGGGATGCTCTGGTGTTTGCTCCTTCTTTTGTATCAAACGCCTATCAGCCTATCATCCTTATCTCTCCTCCCATTCTTTTTATGTTACCCTCAATCTCTTTTTATTTAAATCGAACATCAATCATCCTTATCTACCCTCCCTCTTTTCCGGTATGTTACTCTCTAGCAACACCTCTAATCTTTGGTACTTTTTTATTTCATTCATTTGCTGAAAATACTGTATAATTCTTACTAAAACTAACCTTAAGCTAACAGCCCTGGCTTAATTTAGAGACTTAGAGAGGCACTCTACATTGATATTTTAAAGCCCCTGTAGCACTTTGTAAATGGCTGTATTGTGTGACACCAACTTTTGAAGACAGTGGAAAGCTGATGAAAAAAGTCACAACGAAGCTTGGGCCCCCAAAGAGACTTGGATCCTCACATGTGTCCTTTGTTTTAGCTGTAGATTGAAACTGCCAGTCCTGCTAAAATCTCGTCAGCCATACACAAACCTGCTCCTGGATTTACCATGAATTAATTAACATCATCCTTCTGTCCACTAGACAGAGGCCTTCTTTCTGCATTATTGAAAAAGATGCCTTCCTTTTGTATCTCATCGTCTTGCTTCTCCTCTCCTCTTTCCAATTCAGTGTACATGCAATCCCTTAAAATATAGCTGGAAGTTCATACTGTTGAAATTGTTCAAGGTGGCCACCCAATGTTGAGGAGACAAGGTTGTTATCTTAGACAGGTGGATGTCTAGGTCAGTTTCATTATAATATTATGTTTATTTAAAGCGAAAGGGGGAAAAGTTGGAAGTGGTCGTTTTTACAGGTGATTGTCTTGGAGAGGTGGCCATTTGAGCAGGTTCAACTGTATTTGGAAAGAAGCTACCAAGATGAATCAGTACCACTTGAACCTTTTATTTTTAATTTTTCTACACTCTTTTATATCTACAATATAGGCTACAGGTGTAGACATGTAAAAAATTATGTTGTTTTGTGGTTTGGCTTATTGTTTCCGTCATGATTTCTGCCCTAATCTGAACTCTTTGATTCCTGATCTCCACTTAAGTGGTGTTTTTGTTTCTGGGTTTTCAAAAGATCGCCAATTAAGTGGCGTTTTGGGGGTACCGATTTCATCAACCCCAAGATCTTCACCTGGTCCTGTGCTACACTTACTATGTGTACTAATTTTTCTCAGTGATTGTCTGACCAGTTACGAATAGTTTGAGTGCTCACACAGAAGTATCAATGTTTGACTGAATTATAACCGTTTTAGGCAACACTTTTCGCAGCCTCAAATTGAGAGCATAAAATTGTGGAACCCCTTGCATGCATGTGTACAGAAAGAGTTAAGAAAAAAAAACCAAAACAGGGAAGCACTTTCCAAAAAGTGTAAGGGAGGTGCAACAGTACACAGAAAAGGGGATAATTTTGTTGTATAAAGTATAAAAAAGTACATATGATAAAACGTTTTACATTCAATAGCACATGTTTCAGTTAATTTAAACAGTTTCGAAACACATGTTATTACATATAATGTATAATTTTAGAGTACTTTTTTGTTCTCATCTGTAGACTGACTGTGTTTGTCCGTGGCCTATACCGTGGGGCAGGGTGAGAAAGGCAATGATAATGATGATGATGTAGACTGACTAAGTGTAGTAGAAGTTGGAGCACAGAAAACGTTGTACTACATATTATCTGTGTCGTGTTGACTTCTGCAAGGGTGAAAATGGATCAGATTCTTCTTGCAAATTTGCTGTGACATGTATACGGGGTTTTTTTTTGGTTTTTGTTATTGTTTTAGTAGAGTTTTTTACCGCATAAGGTCATATGAGCGCCAAGGAGTGGATGTCAGCAGGGAATCAGGCTTACTCTGCTCACCTCTCTAGCCTCAACATGACAGCACAAAGTCTGCTTCGACTATCAATTAGGTACCGCGGAAATAGCGGGTCACAAGAGAGTGACAAACAATTCAAACATACAAAATAAGTAGAGGAAAAGGGCGATAGTAAGGAACATGCAGTTCAGACACAGTTATGAGCATGACATTGATGAATCAGCCCATATTTCCAATTTTACTGAGCATAGAACATATTAATCATTTAATGTCCCCCTTTGAGAATGGCGTAAAGACACGTCTGTCAGTAGCACCATCCCAGGGGGTATGTATACGTTTTGAAACTCAACTCTCCTTTTCAAACCTTCAGTTACTTCAAATACAGCAGGCCTACTATTACAATGTCTTTACGTCCACCTGCCATTCTACGTATCCGTTTCTATCTGTCATACATTGTTGTAGGCTACTAGATCTACTGCAGTTGTCAGTAGACTTATTAAAAGTCGCAAAAACTTCCTGGAAAAAAGCAACAACACATTAGATTCAGCATTGATCAAATCATGGGCCTCTGAAAGAGTGCTAATAACCATACTATCATCATACCGCCCCTTCTCCTCCTTCAATTGCACACACACACACACACACACACACACACACACATACACCCACACACACACACGCGCACACACAAACGGAAAAATGAATACTTTCGTATAAGAAGAAAGAGAGGCTGGGACTGGGATAACTTTCATCTTTACACTTGAATCTACAATTAAATTATTATTTACTATTTTTTTACAAAATAGCGAATGATGCGAAATGGCCCATCTGATTCTTTCAGTTGCCACATTGCCAGGATGAACGATGCTTTTTACCATATTATAATCTAAGGGCCGAAGATTAGAGGTGTTTAATCAACTAGAAAGTAACAAATAAAGCAAAGAAGGAGTAGAGATAAGGACGAAAGATGCTTGATACGAAAGAACAAGCAATCCCAAAGACCTTACAATGCAACATAACCTCCTTGCTGCTTTCACACTGTTTGAGTATCGGCTGCAGTTGGCATGTGCCAGTGTGAATTACCTGGAAGAACAAGCGCTGCGGAATAAAAGAAACCGAAACTAGGCCTAATAGCAGTTGACATCAGTCATGGTGTGTGTAAATGCTGAGTAAGAGTGTATGCACGCTGGCCACTGCGTTTTAAATGTTGAAGTCAAGGGCTAGAATCTAGATCTACCGTGAGTTGGGAGCTCAAACGGCTGTAATTAATTGGCAGTATGTATCTACTCTCAACAGTAGTATTGTCAACAGCACCACCGACCAGTCCTGATTACTGATAGAAAAATTGGTAAGATTGTACTTTACCGGACCACCGGTCGGAACTACTTTCGCTGTGGCGCCCCTGGTGCCTAGTGGTCCGCTGTTCTTCGTTTCCGAGCTCCCCTACTCACTCTCCTACTCAGTTTTCTACGTCCTCACTCTTCAACTGCCAGCAATCGACTGCCGTCTCTTACCGGGTTTTTCAGTCATCACGACCGTGCCACTGTGCCCTTTGACCCATGACCCTGACACCTTGAGGCTAATTGGTCAATCTAATCACGTGGTCCACTATTCTTATTTGCTCGCGACTCTGCTGGCTTGGCCTAGGCCCTAGGCCTACTCCTGGTCCGGCAAAGTACAATGGAGGGCTAGAGATGCGCACGAGAGCTCATTTGCATAATTGCAACCCCATTGGCCCTGCTCGCGACTTATCATGCTATTGTTTATATGTGTGTGTGTGAGTGTCTTTAAATTATTGTTACCAGGGGGGGCTAGCCCCCCTGAAACCCCCCCATTGATATGTAAACACGACTGTCTGCTCATGTTATTGTTTCACATTTTTGTGTGTTTTCTTTGTTATAGTTTCCAGGGGGGCAAGCCCCCCTGAACCCCCCCACCCCACTGTTGGTATGATACACAGTGGTCCACCAAAGTTAAATCCCCTGCCCACTCTCAACCACCACCACCTCTCGCTCACCTCGCCTCGCCAGTCACCGCTGACTTCGCTGTGCGTGCGCGAAGTCGCCCGCGGAACTACCTTTTGTCCGCACGCAGAGTACTATGAGTGCGTAGTTAGGCTAGGCGTGCGTAGTAATCACGGGCCGAGACGGGTGGTCCGGTAAAGTACAATCCAGCCGAAAAATTATTATGACGATGTTATGTTATATTTGATATTGTTGATTAAAAAATAATAGAGGGGGCTCGGTCAAGTTGGCTAGTTGTAGGTAGGCCTTCAGTACAGTAGCCTACAGTAGTACAGTGGAACTCAGATTCAACGAGGTCAATGGGCCTGGGCTAAAATCTTGTTGAAATATTATTATGGCCACCTCTATTCTCACCCGGAGTGAGAATAGTGCAGGCGAGTCTTGTGGCTATTCTCACCCGGTGCGCGTTCACCAAATTTTGCGTTCACCCTAAACCATAGAATTCTACACTGTGAGGAAAAATTGTAGAATTCTGTGCCGTGAACAAACGTTCCATTACAACTGTAGCCTACTAAAAGCGTACAATTTTGTCTGTGGGCAGTGGAGAGAGAAAGAGAGAGAGGAGTAGCGCGAGAATTTCCGGGCAAAACAAAATGGCGACCCGCGTAGTTCGGCTCGATTCGAAAAGTTAAATAGCCGTAGCATCTTTGTAGACAACCAAATTAATTTACTTTTGTGTTTTAACATCATTTTTTAACTTTGTTTTGGTCAATTTGATCGTCCGCACCGATAGACAGTATTCAGAAAGAGACAGAGAGAGAAAGAAGAGGGGAGGAGTTGATCTTGCGAGAACTTCCGGGCGGGTGAGAATAGCCACTTTCATGAGATTATTATAAGCCTATTATAACTATAAGTATAGTATAGCAAACATGATGTTTTGTGTAGATATTTACAGGCTCTGAGCAAGTAATACTGTATAAAGAGAAGTCACAAGTAATGGGCGCTTTTTCGGTAGTTCCCACGCCGCAATTGTTATTCACGGGTTTAGGCCCCAAGAGTAGGGGGGTTTCAGGGGGGCTTGCCCCCCTGACCTAATATAAATAAGGTTGGGGGTTTCAGGGGGGCATGGAATTTTACCACAATTTAATGTTTTGCAGTTGTTAGGTTTGATATCATAGCTCGCTGCGAATCAAACGTATACATCTAGATGTAGGTCTGGCTCAAATAAGGGGGGGTGGGAACTACCGAAAAAGCACCAAGTAATGCCTGCATATTATGAGCTCTATTAAAAAAAAGACAGATTCGTTCAAAGGCTCGCCTGTGTCATCTCGATCGTTTACCAAAAAGTTGTGTTGCTGTGTAGAGCCTAGAATCTAGCACGGCAACTTTGGACTCCATAGAGACCAGCGCACAATTCATTACATAGAGATACGTCAAGACTAGGTTATTATCATTGTAATACAGTATTATAACTCCTATAGTGGGACTTTTGGTTCCAGACGAAAAATCCTGCTGTAGGCGAGTTCCCGCTATAGGAATGGAAAGGGGAAATTACAGAAAAAAATTCATAAAATCCTCATGATTACCCCCCTTCCATATCAATAGAATTTGCGCTTTAGATTAGTCTTCCTTTTCTTGTCAACTTCGTTTATTATCTCGGCCTTCAATTCTCGTGAGAAGCGCATTTCTTTTTGTGTTTGTTGGAAGCCGTCTTTTCCTCGGTCTTGTAGCTTTTGTGCTGTCTGTCGTACCGTTAGACCTACTGTAGATCTGGTGAAGTGGATGCGTGTGTATGCCTGAGTGTGAGCATCAACTATTGCAATTCAATGAATTTCAATTAGGAATCTCGCTCGACACGCTCTCCTCTTCTTTTACTTTTTGTCCAAGCCTATGCCTAGGGCTATGATCTATACGCTCTCATACCATACTGAGAGTCTAAGCTACGGCACATCACTTTTGGAGTGGCTCACGTAAAGCGTCTCTCCGCATCATCCCTCTCTACCGCCTGCCCCACCTCACTCATCGTTGGACTGGCCTATCACGCCGCCGCTCCGCTGACTGTCTGTTGGAGCCGGCCTACAGCCCCCAACCCCCTTCCCCCCAGCTAGAACTCGCTCAGTCTCTCCCACTGTATCCGAGGTTGAGCCTTTCCTTGCCCCGCTAAACGCAAGCATAGGTAAATGAGTTTACATTTTTTTAAAAGGGGAATCCCGGTAAGGTCCTGCTGTAACAGGTACTGCTATAGTCATATTCTACTGTAATGATCAGTTGCCGAGGGGAAAGAAAAGACTGACGTGTGTATCTGCGACGTTCAACGCCGAGACCGCTAGTGCCGCCGCCCCCCCCCCTCCTGGACACGCACACACAGCCACACGTGTGCAGGCCGCAGTGCTTGCTCCAATACATGTTTTGCTCTATACGCACGCAATTGCATGCACAAATACATTTTTTTGCTATACACGTACACAATTGCGTGCAAGGTATCATACTTTGACACTATTCACGCAATTCCGTGCCGTAATGCCAAAGATTCTCTATTACTTGGATATTATCTTGCTCCTTGGGCTTTTGTCCGCTCCATGGCGGGCCCGCTTTGCCGTTTATCTCGTGATGGGCTACGTCGCTAGGGGATGCGAGGTTAGTTTCATCGTCAACTGCTTGGGGTGTGTGTACAACTTTGTTTGGGGAGGAAAAGAGGAGGTACAGAATGGTACTGGTACAGGCTAAATTTATGGAAAGAGAATAACTGAGATTGTTTAAAGATAACACAAATTAACACACACTCAAAAAAAGAACGAAAGGGAAAAAAAGGGTTTGGGGTGGGGTTCCTTTTTTTTTCAACCCACTGTCAAATTCACCTACCTCAGGTGGCCAGACGTGGTCTCGCATTGCCCAATGCTTTGACATAAATTTTGAATTGGCCCTTCACACTCTGGATGGGCCGCCATAATCCATTGACCTGCCGTTGTTGTTAGTCCCTCCTGTAAATGTTTACCCAAGTTGACCAATGGGTAGGCTTAACATTACTAACAATACATTTCAACAGCTGGTAAGGGAAGCGTGATCCGTAATAACCTTTTAGCCCCATCCACAACTCATGCACAAATCATGTGTGAGTGTGAGGTGACTGGTCACTATTTTGTTTGCCTAATCTGTAACAAAGTAACAATGGACTTTGACGTGAACTTGCAACAGAAGCATCGCTCGTTCTCCGAGTGGTGTCGACCCGTGTGTATGTTTTACCATGGCACTCGGTCTTCATCGTCTTACTTACATAATGTTTAGTTTATTTTATCCTTGTACTAAACCAGCAACAAAAAGAAAGCTTACTGCAAACAAAAAAAAACCCATCAAGACAACAAACAAAAAAACCCTTCTTACACCAGTACCCTCCGCCATTTTTCAAAAGAAAACTAATACCCTTTTGAATTAGCCCTACAGCAGTCTAAAGACTGAGATCAGCCCTGGTTTGGACCTCAGAAGAGAATGATTTGCTTTTATTCATTTTGACTAGTCCTGCCTAAGACGACAACCTGTGTTATACGGCCTCTTTTCTCCTTGTCAATGGGTGGCCGTTTTACACAGGTTTGACTGTACACACAATTGTGGTGTTAAAGAAACTTCTGTTCAAGCAAACTATGATATCTTGCACGCAATTGCTTGCGTATAGCAAAATTTGAATTTCTGTGCACGTTGTTGCGTGCATATAAACTCAGCCGTCCTAAGAGCAATCAAAGCGTTCCCAAGGGGGTTGCTGTTAAGCAGACTCCATGTACTGTAGTACTAGCACTAGATGAGAATGAGACAGGTTGAGCTGAATTCTGAATGGTGCCTGGCTAGGACTAGACTAGGACAAGAAGGGGGAAGAAATTCCAGATACTGGTGTACATGTACTGCCATTAAAACAGTAATTAGAAGTACGAGACCAAATACTAAGAATTATCATGACAATAGGGGTTTAGACTGGACTAGACAGGCTAGGCTGGATCCTGGATGGTGCTTGACATGACACTTGACAAGGCCCAGGCTAGGACAAGGAAGGAGGAGAATTTCCAGTTGTGAATATCATGATGATTGTCAAAATACTGGTTAAAATTAAAATTTGTTTATAATTGTTTTGAATTTGAATTCTGTTTTAGTACATGATGTGCAATTTTTGTTGACTTGTTTGTCTGATAAATAAATAATAATATTATAATATATATATCATGATTTAATAAAAGATTGCTTCTACAGAGGTGACAGGAGATAAAAACAAAAATCAAATACAAACAAATAGATCGAACCATTGTCATTTAATCCTCTTTTTGTTTTCTCACATTGTTGAAATATTGTATTTATACCGCAACTCACATTTTCTAAGACAATGATTTATATATGGATATTATAATACACTCATCATTTAGAGCCATCATGTGGATATTCTGTCCTGGGCGCTTTGGAGTGAAGGGCAAGGAGGAGGCTGATAGGCTGGCAGGCAGTGACGTGGTTGATGGTGACGTGAAATTTGACAAAGGAGAGAAGTGTTGAAGATCCTGGAGGAAAAGTTGTGGGATGAAGAAGACAGGGAGACAGCAGAACACCACGCAATCATTAGGATGCGGGAAATGGGGATAGTGAGGGGAGAAGGAAGAAAGGAACGATTATCTGGAAAGGAAAGACGTCGCCATAATCAGACAGCTACTGGAACAATCAATATGGATACCTTGTGGGCTTTGGTGTTGTTGGGAACTGAGCACTTATGGACCTGTCCGGTGTGCAATGACGTTGTTGCCCAGGACCTGTCCGGTGTGCAATGACGTTGTTGCCCAGGACAGGCAATACCAGTATCAGAATAGGAAAATGTCCACTTTTTGACAAAGGCAGAAAAAAGTCAAGGAAAGAATTTGGTCTTGAGGCCAGTAGCAGTATATGAAGGGTTTGGGAAAGCTTGTAATATTCACTTACAATATTCTGTCTTTTTTTTTTCTTGCAGTTTGAGTTGATGCTGCAAATGACAGTTTGTTTGCTATGAAAATGAATCTGCCGCCGGATCGTCAAGGACACTTGAGCGATTTAATGTCCAAATCTGTTGGTGAGCTCAAAGAACTTCTTGAGAGACAAGAAAAAATTCTGTCTGGAAGGTAAAATCACATTGATTGCTAATGTAGTTACAACAAAATGTGGGTTTACAAAAACAGTTCGTATCTACTTTTATTTGGGATTCTATTTTGCATTTGTATTTTGTTTCAGTACTCTTGTTCAAGTTTTTTTGTGTATGCTGCACTAAAATTTAGTTTTGTGCCGAAGTAAGTTTACATGTCATGTCAGTTTATAAAGTCACTCTAACTAATTTTTTTAGCTGAATAGGGCTGCAGTTTATCATTTTGTTTTTATTTCAGTTCCTTTCTATTGTCCTGATGTATATTTTTCCTTTGGTCTAGAGGGAGAAAAGTGACAAATGGTGGACAGTGGAACCGGTAATGGTTTTTAGTCTCAAATGGAGGAATTTTGTCCCAGAGGTGCAATTCCAACTTGACACCTAGTACAGAGGTTGATGCCTGTGGTATTTGCTTTGTTAAGGTTTACCTGACCAGTCTGAAATATGAACATTCACAGCATAAGAAATAGCTCCATTTAGACCTTTAATATGAATACACAAACATAGCTGCTCCCCACTATGTAGTGCCCTTATTTACTGTAAATTATAAATGAATTTGGCTTGCCTTAATTTTGGAAGATCTTTGGTCATTTTTGGGGTTTTCTTTTAGTTCACTGAGTTGTAGATTTGCAATATCTTTGAAAGTCAAGTCTGTGCAGTATCTTCTTTAACCCTTAGATTCGTACGCCCTGGGGTCATTTTGTACCCCCACGGTTGTATTCTTCACATTTTTAGAATACTTCCAGTACGAAGATCTTTTTGAAACTTTCTGTATTTCTCAAAAAATCATTTTGACAGACTGCCATGCAAAACGTACGGATCGGATTAACGAGTAGATTTCCTCTTTGAAAGTGGTGGCACAGAGTTCCCCTCGTCGTATGGATACGATAGTAAAACACAACGTACAGATAAGGTTAACCTGAATAAACCACCGTTACTACCAAACCATTGACCAAAGTAATTTTTCTTTTAATATGTTTTGTTTTTTCTTCCTTCTTTGTTTCAGGGCATTTCTTAAAACCTTGCCTGATAAAGGAGAGAGATGTAGAAAATTTGCAGAACATTTGAGAAATCTTATATCACAAAAGACTGAAGCATTTCGTCGTACCTTACCTAGCCAAACTGACATGGATCATGTATCAGGGTTCAAGCAAATGTCAGATGTAGTAAAGATAAATACAGAAATCTTTGGTTCTGAATTAGTGAAAGATGTGACAGAAAGGAAAGTAGGATTGTCTGCAGTTGCTGACAGTGGTGTTAAAGAAACTTCTGTTCAAGACCATATGGATATAGCTTCAAGTTTACAAGTGAGTCAAGTATATTTCAGTGTACTATGTACTGTAGTCTCCACTGAAGATCCCACCGCTTACAATCCTGGTTTACTTGAGATCCCGCTTTTTTAAGAAAACAGAATTTTTACTACACAAAAGTCACCCCTAAGATCCAGCTCTTAAGGATTACATTCATCATTCTACTAAGATCCCACATGTGAAATAATAATTTACGGAACAAAAACTTGGGGGGTGGGGGGGCACGCTTCATTTACAAGACAGTCAATACTTTCATGATGACCCATGGAAGTTCGAACACACAGTCTACACCGCAGCAGTGGAGTGTGTTAAGAGAAACACAAAGAACGCAAGTGATGGAGGCATACGCGACTCACACGGGCATTGAGGCAGCACGCGTGGACATTGGATCTAGCCTACGGCAAAGCTACACACAGACACAAAAAAATACAAAGAGAGTCGTGGAGACGAGAAAGGGAGGCAGGCCTCGATTTCACCTTTGACCCTTGCTATCCTTTAATCCTGATTGTGTATAACGCACGAGGTGGGATGAAGGCGGTGGTATGAATGTGGCACAGCGGACAGTGTTTGGTGTGTAGGCCTAGTGTGCTGTATCGTGACTGGCCGTCTAAATTAAGTTTTCATTCCCCGTTCGACCACCAAACAAAAACAAACAAGCAAACTAAAACTACCATGGGGGGTAAAAATAACAGTGCACACTTTTGCGGGACCGCTATGGGATTATAGGCCTACTTACAAATAAAGGGAAATAGCACGGGAAATTTTCTACATGAAAATCTCTGGATTATGTCCACTTCGCTCTCAAGCACGCTTCGGCATTAAGCACGCTTATGCTTTCTCCCGATGACCGTGCTTAAAGCCGGCATGGACTGTACTGCCCGTTGCGTCACAGGTCATCCATTCTCGTGAAAGTGATCATAGCTCCATTGAAAGTCACGACGAAATGTTACTATGTTTGCCCCAGATGGGATCACACTGAGGTGGGAACTCGTCGATGCGTTTGTTTTCCGTATATATACATTACACTCGCACCTGAGCTCTCTACCTGAACTTACTTTACAATCTGGGTGGGTAGTGCCTACAAATCTGTATCGGATGGGATCATATGGAACTGAACTCTTCAGTGCTTTTGTTTCCCTGTCCACTGCCGTGGTAGTTGTCCGTACACCCTAATTTGCTAGACAGACTGAATTTGAATTGGTGTGGTCACAATGCAATGTTGCGTTGCGACAAAAGCGGGGGAAACTCGGTCAGAGATGGAAAGCTGTCAATTTTTGGACAGGTAAAGTAAAGGGGAGGAGAAATAGAATCAGTCTAGATCTTGCGACTCACAATTGGATGAGTGTTGCCTTTGTCTTTGTAATCGGTCATCAAGGTTGACTACTCTTTGCTCCCCTTAAGTCTTATACCCACCCAGGGGTCACATCAGTTCGTTTCAGAGTAAGGGGAGACCATTTTACTAGTTGTGGGCCTGACCATGAGTCACAATAGATTATTCCCTTGGTGCGTCAGCAAAGATCTTGTTCGCCGTAGAAGTAAGATCCACATTTTCCTTGCTCTCAAGCACAGGGATCTTAGGCAGAGACTACCGTAGTACCCTGATTTAGAGCCTCACTCTTATGATATGTAAATAATTGTTTTGTTAACATTTGAGCAACTTATTTATTTTCAATGAAACTGCTAAGCCCCATAGAAAAGATCAAGGCTTTTTGTTGTCAATTGCCTGTGACATTTAAGTAACATTGAGCCTAGATATGAAAAGAATGGAAGACAGAGAGAGGAAGTGAGAGAGACGGAGAGATTCACATATATATGAGTCTATGAAAAAACGAAACAGAGAGAGTGGTAGAAACAGATAATTATGTATATATATATTACAACAAAAATGAAGTTGCTCAGCACCAATTTTTCCAATACGCTAGTAATGGAAGAGTGTGCCTTTATAAATGCAAGAAAATTGTAAAATCCAGCTTTATTACAGTAGTCTTTGTTTAAAATGGACTCAGGGGAAAATTAATTTAGAATTTAATGATAACATTTCGGCTTCTTGTGACTATATTTTGTTGAGGACAATAAAAGACTGATGATATTTTTATTGTAATATTGGCTTTTTTCTGCATTCCCTTTACTTCAACTCATGTAAAGTTCACTGGGCTTTGAAGTCACACACCAAGCTACTTTTCTATCTTTTCTGATTTACTGTTTTCCTTGACTTTTAAAGAAGTAGGAAAATATAATTTGTGCTATATTATTTCATTTGCAGAAAATAAGCATCAGTCAACCTGGAGAAAAGAAGGTTTCAGAGACTGATGTGCCACAAAATGTTTTTGAGAGGGTTGTAAGAAAGATGGAGAGAGCAACACCTCAAGAAAAATTTATGCCCAACAGGTATAGTATTCTATTTTTTAAGAAAACTTTCTACCAGTTGCAGTAATTTCGACAGTGCTTGCAGAGAAGGACTTTACTTTACTTTTACTTTTCCGACCCAGCGGCCATTTGGGTTCTAGCCCTTCGGTCTGTCGATATGGCAAAGAATTGACAGGTTTTAATCAGTTGTGCTTTGTACAGAGAAGGACAAAGACTCATATAATAGCACAGGACTCTATTTACATTCATGTACACACACATTGACCATAATTAATATATCTACCAAAGTCTATCTATCCACTTAAATCCACCCTAAATTCTGTGGAATCATTTCAGACTGATGGCCCTGATAGTCTAGTAGTTAGGCTACCGGACTCTTGGGCATATTTGGTTGTTGGAGGCTCAGCCTTGTCTAACGTTGTGTCCTTGAAAAGGCACTTCACATGAAATTTCGCGTTTGGTTTAGTCCTGTTGGAGATGGACGTTACATTCAGAGGTCCCGCCTCTATAACCGTACAGTGTTGCAATGGAGGTAAAACCGATACAATTTCAAGTTCATTTTTTTTTTTTCATTTCAATCATTCACTGATTTACATACTTAAATGATGGCAAAACTCATTCTCTGCTTTACGACTTTTTTCTTTGTTTTCTTGATCTTTGTCAACTTGGGACCTCATTAGTTTTTTAACACACGACTTTTTCAAGCCAATTGTACACTAAGAGCAAAGTTACATTCTAATTATTGCATTACTGAATCAAATTGCTCGTTTTCATTTGTAGAGGAAAACCCTTCATTGCTTTGCCACCCTCAGAACTCTCAAGTCCAAGGCTGACACAAAGCAAACATTCCGCCCCCACACTGTGCCAAATACTAACGTTGTTGAGGAATCCAATGTGAGGCCTCCAGAGTACAAATTCAAGGAGTCAAAGCTGATTTCAATCAACGAGTCTGTGAAACTCATAGATGAGCAGAGAGCAAGAAATGAGGTTGGTTAATTTCAGAAGACTTACTTTTTGCTTCTTTTACTTTCCGTTTTGTCGATATATATAAATATGGACCTGTACAGTAAAATTACATAAGCTGATACTGATTTTAAATCAAGAAAAGCAGTTTTTGTCTTCAAACTGATTAGAGTTTATTTTTGTGTGTGCTTGATAACCAGTGTCTGTAATAGCTCAGGAGCAACAGGGCTGGGCCTTTCTATTTGTTTTACTTCATTTTGTCAAAACTGTATTCTCCACTTTCTTCTTCCTTCCATGTAAGGAAAACTGGTTCAGGTATTTTCAACAGCAAAAAACATTTTACTTGTGTTTCAGAAACTGATAGCTGAACATGCTGCCCAACGGCTGGCTGCGCAACTTGTACCAAAGATGGCAACTTACTCAGGTCAAGGGAACATGCAGTATCCTTTTTGGGAGGTAGCTTCATTAATTTATTATTGGAAATTTAGAGAAATGTGTGACTAAATACTAGCTCTGTGCTTTTCTTCAGATGGAATACATACTCATTTTGACTCATGTTTTTGGGTATTTGTTTTTTTCTTTTGAATGAGTACTGTGACTGTGTGCAGTATACAGAATATGTGGTGATTTGTCATTTTTTTCTAACAGAGGGGGAGAGAGGGTTTAGAGAGATTAGTTGGAAATGTATGCTCTGATTGATTGAGAGAGGAAGAGAGAGAGAGAGTGTGTCAGGGTTAATGCTTCCATTGACTTGAGAAAGTTCAGAAAGTATAAATAGTCAACCTGGGCTATGGTCTTCTCTTCTGTCAAGCTATATTCCATCTCCTAGGTCGGAATCTAAGTCCCTCCTCAACATACTCTTAGGCCTTCCTTTCTTTCTCTTTCTGTGTAGATTCTATCATAAGGCTTAGAAGGTAATGTTTGTTTTCAGTTTTGAGATGGGTTCAATCCACTTTCATTTTCTTTCTAAATTTCTCTTGATTTGTTAGCTCTAATAGAGTTGTATTCTTTTGGTGTCTGGTCAATTAATTTTGCCTGTGGGTATGCGTACGGCCTCCCGTACACATAGCCTCATAACTATGCGTACGGCCTCCCGTACACATAGCCTCATAACTATGCGTACGGCCCTCCCTCCCGTAGGCATAGCCTCGTGGCTATGCGTATGGCCCTCCCTACGTACGGCCCTTAGATTTAGGTAGAAGTACGCTCACGGCCTTGATAATCTCTCAGCTGGACCGCATCACTTTATCGATCGATATCTTGGCCAAGACAAGATAGTTCACTCCTCTATAATTAAACCAATGAAAAAAAGTGTCCTCAATATTCGGTGGCGCCCTTTTCGAAAAAGTGCAGACTTTGCGATGTGTGTGAAAATATATGATAAAAGTGAAATTAACAAAGTGTGCTATTCCTATTCTTCTTCTGGTGAAACGAAAGAGAGCTTCAAAACAAAGACTGCAGAGTCATCTGAACCAATGTGCGGACTTCCGCGGGCACCTTTTTGGCTGAGTGAACTATTTTGTTATGTACGATCTTTGGCCAAGAGACGCTCTACGAGGTCAAGATAACTTGCCAAGTCATTGGTCACTATTTATAACTTTGACCTGTAATTTACTACGTCATTTTCCATTAAAGGAATGCTGAAATTTTCCATTGAAAGAAGGTCAGCGTCTATGCCCTTTATAGCTGCTCGCTTCCCAATCAAAGTAGGTCGTCCCTATATATAGGGCCTGCGCGCTTCCCGGGTAGCCTGGCTCACGCCCTTTATAAAGGGCCTGTGCTTTTCCAGGGTTTAAGTTTTTCCACTTGTAGTGTCGGGTTTGATAGTTTATGTGCCGCCAACAAAGCCTAGCTTATTATGTGGAGTGGAGGGCATAGCCACTTCGATTAATTTTTAGTATTTTCTTAAGCAGCTAAAATATAGGTTACCGAGTATGAACAGTTTTTTTAAAACCAGCTAATAATGATCATGTTGATGGCTTTTAATCTTCTTTTATTTTCATTTGAATTGTGAAGAAATAAAAGGATGGGTTCATGTTAGAGAATGGACTTTATGAAATCAAACTACAAAACTGTTTCTATACTTATACCCTCACTCCCCCTATCCACCCCTCTCACATGTAATACAGGGAAGTTAAACTTACTCTTTGTAAGTCTTTTCCATCTAAAGGCTCAGTTACAGTACGGTACCCATTTATTTAGATGGTGCTTTGAATTGTCCTTGTTTCACATTATTTTACTTTAGCAGGGGAGTGGGTGCCATGTGAGAATATGGTTTGTCCTTAACTGTTCATAGATACAGGGAGCCTAAGCTACCAGAACAGGGAGACAGTGATGATGATGAAGATGAAGAGGAGACTCAAAATTTTCAGCCTGATGACGACGATGATGTTGATGACAATGTTTAAGCAGGCAGCATGTTCCAAGGTCCACACTCAAGGGAGATAACATGAAAGAAATTTCTCTGGCGAATTCTCTTTTCTTTTCTGCTAAATCGTGCTTTAATAAAGTGCAGCCGTACCACAGAACTGAAAAAGTGATAAAATCTGGTACCAGGCCTTTTTCTGTTCTCTGTGCCATCATGCCACTGAAGATCTAAGGATACACATGGGACACACATGCTACTAACATGTGGGATCATCATTTTGTAGAGATGTTAGCGCTATGAAGAGAAATGCCACTCTTTGTGAGGATTTTGAGCCCCATAATTTTCACTGCTTGTTTTAACTCACTTCAGACGCGTCACACAACAGTTGCGTGACCCCCGCCATGACGCTCGCGACGGGTCTCACAAGCCCTGCGTGACCAACTTTGGAATTTTTTTTTCGCTCTACAAATCACGCACGGATCGCGAGACCCGCCTCGTACCCTTGTTTGGCCAAGCCTGAGCTACTTAAACTTCGTTTCGTATCTCTGGGGCCGGTAGTTTTTAAGTTATTGAAGGTGAAGGACAGTGACCCCAACTGGGGTTGAACAGACCGGAACTCGCGCTTTGTTTTTTTTCTATACAGCTCATAGTAATCCGACAGTCGCGTCGTAGTAACGGTCGAAGAAGTCGCATGAACAAGAATCACATAATTTCGCCGTTTTCTATACTTCTGTGCGTTTTACTAGTTCTAGTGTCTCAGAATATGATGTGTCTAATAGTTAGGATCCTGGATATGTACCCGAACACGGCCCGAGTCGTAGTTCTAGGGCTAGATCTAGCACTAGTACCGGTGTTGTTTTTCGCGCAACGAAATCACAACGTCGTGCCGTACATCTGTCTCATGTAATTCAGTGTATGGGTCTGAATCAATTCACAGACCAGCTTTTATATTTCCACCAAACACTTGCACATGTATACAAATCAAACCAGAACACTTTGAACTTTTATTTTTGTTGTTGCAGTGAATTTCATTCTACTTGTCACGTCTCTGGAAATTTTTCGAAAATCAAATTCATGCCAATTTTTAAAATATCATACGAATTAAAGTATTAGACTTAGACAACTTTAGTTTTTTGTATTAGATTAAGCTTGAATGTTACTTTACTGTGTCAAAAAATGATTACAATAGGGTAATTCTGAGAGTTGTGGTGATTTATTTAAATTCCCCCCAAAACGCCAGTCTTCAACGCTTGTGACTGGTGAAAGGGCCCAGTCGCAAGTGAGTTAATAAAGTTCGGAGTGAACATCTGTGTATAGGAACCTGGCAACTTAGACCTCATGGCTCCAAGACAAAAAATGTGTGCGAACCATGAGCTTTGGAGAAAAAAAAGATGCAACTACCTGTCACTAAAAACAGACCATCCGACTCTTACAAGGTAATTTGTATCGCTCATCCTAATTCTATGGGTTTCTTTATGGTGGGTAGGCCTATTTGCAGATGTTCAAGGTGATATTTATGGTTTGATTCGGTAGTGGTACATGCTCTTTTGATTGATTGCTGATGTTACAGCAACTTATGTCCTCAATTACCATTAAAATGAAGATTGATCTTTCTTGACTGTGAACTGTTAGTACCGTTTAGTGATTTAATGAACAAAATCCATGTGCTTTTTTGGCTTTTTTCAAAGGTACGAAAGTAGCATGTTGGAGTAAGAATATGCCGTTTGACTAAGTTATACTTATATGTATTGGCATACAAGTATTGGTGACTGTTGGTACTCTAACACTGTATTTGTTATTTCATATAATATAGAGAAATAGGTATACTTAAATCAGTTTCGTGATTACTTGGTCACTGCTGAGTTTGTTTTGGTTTTTGTTGACACTGTTGTCAATTTCAGTTTCCTATTGGAAGTGGCCAAGTGTTTTTGAGCTTCAGTTGATACAAATTTCAGGATGGAGCCAATTGCATGGTGGGATCCAATTGCATGTCATCTTGCCAGTTACGTGGCAAATTTGCCTGCACCGTTCAGTTTCGCACCAAATCGTTTACCGCTTTCCTCTCGAAAATGCGCAGTGATGTTTTTTGCAATGACGACATACCAGTTGGGTGTCGCATTTCTCCTTCCTAGCACACCATGGCATTAGTATTTGACAAATGCTATTAGGAAGTAAACTATTACTGAGTCATGTACTTGTGATTAAGATGAGAGAATGTATAAAAATCAGATGGATTTGTTAGGCCTCTCTTCTGAGCCTAGTTTCCTATTTCTGACATGATTTTTGTTCTTGCTTTATCCCGAACCCTCTCCCTTATCCAAAATACGTCAACTGACTAAAAATAATCATTTGCAACATTGAACACTTTGAAATAGACAGAAGAAATCTAAATTAACAGGAGAAAACTCAGTAATTCTAAAACATCACCACAAAACAGTTGTGTGCAACTGATACATCGGTGTTATCAATGTCATCTTGAATCTTCTTGAAAGTTCTTCTTCTGGCAGGATTTTCTGATGTGCACAGAATCGTGCCCTTCTTCCATCAGCCATGTAGAATACTTTCTGTTCCCGCAGAGAGAGCTGTATTGGTGCAATAGTTAGTCCACCGTTTCTCCAACAACGTAATCTACAGCTGATGTGGAGGAAGAGGCTGCATACCGTTCAAGAGGACATTGTTGTTCAGTAGATTTGTGATAAATCTCTTCCTAGTATGGATGCATCTTAACAGTATACTTTGTTAGAGTTAAGGTTATGTCCATGATCTCGTTGGGGTCAGCGTCTTTCCTGTAGGATGATGAATTGTCTTCAGCACCTTTTTAAGCTACTGAAGAGCTGATTGGGGCACAGCTCCACCAGGGCCCTCTAATTCTTCGCTTTCTTCAGTAATCTGTACATCAAGATGTGCTTGGTCAAGAAACGCTCGATCTTCTCTGGTGAGGTTGACCAGTGGTACCGTTTCATATGATGAGGTTGCAAAATTTGGTCTTCCTAAGAATTTTTCAAAGGTAGTAAAGGGATGTGTTGCCTTGTTGACCCAGTTGTAATGCTCGTAATAACATTCTTCCAGCTGCTCAGGCCACTTTTTTGCATCTGACAAATAGTTTTTTGAAAATATTCCACCTCGGTTCTGTTGAACCTGTCAACACGGCCTTGTGATTGTGGGTGGTAAGGTCTGCCGTTGAGTATTTGAATGCGGAATTCTTCAAAACTCATTGGATTCTATACCATTGTCCGACTGGAGAATCCTAGTTGCCCCATATAGGGGGATGAAATGGACCAGGTTGTTCCCTATTTGTTTGGCACTTTTGTCCTTGACTGGGGAGCTGAAGGCAAATCATGAATAGCTGCTAGAGCAGTCCACCACGTTCAAAATGTAGTTGCACCCTTGCTGTGATGGCATTTCTTTAGATCTATTTGCCACCTGCTGTTTTGGTAGGTGGCTGGAATGGGTTTCCTCGATGCATTTTATTTTTGGCAGATCTCTTGCCTGTGCACATTCCGAGCAGCAGATATTTTCCTTGAACAAAAGTTGTGACAAATTCATTGGTCACGCGGTAACAAATTTGCCTCAGACTTTCGTAAATTGTACTACTTTTCCTGTGGTCTTTTGCGTGGTTCAATTCAACCATTTTAGGTTGTTCATATTTTGTGAGACACTTACGATTGCCAGTCACCAAATCCTCGGACTTGAAAAACATAGCATCTTCTTTGTCAATACAAAAAAATTGCTCAATATGTTTGCAAACAAGTACAAGGTGTTCTGAAGTCAATGTCTGGTTTTGTCTTTTGGCAAATTTTCTTGATCCCCATTGTCATTGAGGTAGATAATACCTCACCTTTACAACTGTCAGAATTTCTTTGTAAGAAGTCCAAAAGATTTCTGGCCTGTCTTTAGTTTGATGTCTCCGTCGATGTGTATACCAAAGAAAATCCCTTCTTTGGGAACAGTGTCCTCCTCCATGTTGAGTTTTTAGGCCTACATTCCTACAAGGATTTCAACTTCAGTGCTCAATAGTGCATGGTCATGCATTACTATCTTAAGCAATCTCGCACAGCGAATTGGGAAGGAAAGTACTTTCTTCAAAATGAAATAAAACTGGCAATGGTGCCATGTGGTGCATGTCATTCAGCCTCTTCATGTATATAATATAAATTTGCCACGAAATTGGCAACAAGACGCACAATTGGCTCCCTGCCACGGAAATGGCTCCTGACCACGCAATTGGGTCCTACATTATATGTTGGTGATACGACCTTTTGGAGGGTGGTCATCAGGGTGTGTCCTTGACCAAGACATGATAACCTTCACTCAGAGATACTGCACAGTGACAACTGGCAGTGGCATGTTTGTAAGATATTCTGTATTGTTGTAATGTGTATTTCCTGACATGCATGTATTGTACTTGCCCCTGTAAGTTGTAACCCACATATCCTTACGAGGATCAATAAAAGTGGTATTTTATAAAATATATCATTTTTTGCGTACTTGTGTGGTCAAAACAAAGATATTTGGAATTAAAGAATGAAGATCGTTGCTCGTTTACTTATTTCATCAATTATATTAGATCTATTAGTTGAACAGTGATAGCTGGGATGAAGTTCTTCTTGGTGATCTTCCAGCTGCAGTGAAAATGTACCTCTGACTCTGACTGCATCATAAAAATGACCTCAAGAAACTCTATAGAGTGATGATTTATGCTTTCGCTCTCTTCTGATAGAGAACTTGAGGGTAGCTGGCTGTTCATTTTTCAGCGCGCAATATAACCAATAGTTACGTATGACCCGTCTTTCTACTTGCACTAGAGCATAAAATCCACCTGCCTTCCTGGAACCTGCGACTGTTTTCAAGTATTTTTTTAAAGTCCTCATTACTTTGTTCTTGATCACGATTCCTTCAACTTTAACACAATCTTGCTCTTCTCATGCAACGATGAAAATGATCTCTGAGTAAACAATATTTGCTTGCCGACAAATTCTTCTGTATAATTAATAATGTATGTTAGTATATTAGTCAGTTGGCTGTCTTTATGAATTTTTTTATAGGGGTCATATAACTTTTCTTGATGTCAGTCTGGTTTAATTTTTTTTAAACAAAACAAAACAACAACAAAAAAAACATGCTTATTTTACCTTAAGTCCTTATGTAGTTGCAAGTGCCGTAAAACTCTTACCTAAAAAACCCAAACAAGTCTGATAAAAATAATATCATTTTAAGCAATGGGAAATCCTGTGATATTTTACTGCCAGTACATGTATTTTCTCAGTGTTTGTTCCATTTAGATTAGGCTCTCAGACTAAACTGTAAGGTCGTGGGTTCGAATACCGTCAGGGAACCGACGTTGTGTCCTTGGGAAAGGCACTTTACTGTAGCCTACTTTACACAAATTTTCCTCACCTCACCCAGGTGGGAATGGGTACCCAGCTATAGAAAGTGAAAGATCTTGTCAGTTTGTTAGCGTTTCAGCATTTAATCAGCTACTTGCTCTGTATGCTTCCTGGGAAGCTGAGAATGTTTCTGAGTGTTCTATGGTCTGCTGGGGTAATACTATAGTGTAAAGCGTATAAGCTTACTGTCGAGCGGGGTTCTGCGCCATACAAATTTATTAATTATTATTATTGTTCGTTCACATTGGGCGCATTCTAAGAACTCTATTGCTGGAGGCTACCTTCTCAGACTCACCGACTTTTCCTTATGAACTGTCCATGACACAAATACTAGTGGCAAATTCAAAGAAGCTATGTTCAGAGAGTGTATTGGTGGTTATCACTATTGTATGCCCTATTTTGAGACATGTTAAGCTTTGTTTTGTGGGCTATATATATATAATATATATAATATTATATTCTAAGGTTTATATTATATTATAGCTTGTTCACTTTTGTCTGCCCATGTAAAAGAAAATAAACTTGCTATGACACTGCTGCAGGCCAATGACCAAACAAAGTATTTTTTCAAGAAATTTTGAACCAGTAATAAAAAAAATTCTCTTTGGGCCCTAATATTTAAAACCGCTCTTTGGATGCATACACAGGATCAGTAAAATAAATGACTTACCGATCCTACATTCATGTTAGTAATTCTTAGCCTACAAATTGCTCATTTTGAGACAGCGTCACCACCCTGCCCCCACATTTCAGTGCAAGCTTGTCGATTTCACCCCATGGCTGTCTAGACATCTCCATATGCTCCACGTGAGTCTTGAAAATTACTAACCAAATCTGTTGAATCATGTTTTTTAAGCGTATGATAAAGTGTGGAGTTGAGTTAAATTTGTCAACTTCTTTTTTGTTTTAGGTGCATGCTGTAAATCCCCTTTATTTTTTTCGCTCAACTTAGACTAATGTAAAAAAAATGTGTGTCGGAACGTTAGTTTGAGGTGACCTTTATAAATTGGCTTTTAGATTCCATTGGTCATCCAACTCTTACTTTGACGCGTATGCAAAGATCGAAGAAGATTGAGATGGGCAATTTCTTTTAAATTTGGTTTTAACAGCTGTCAGATAAAAGTGAACAAGCTATAGTATAGTGCCAAGGACACCTCACAACGAAAAGTTGACTCTTCAATGAACGCAGATTCGGCTGTGGAAAGTCCCATTGAGTTTTGTGACTGGGCATGACATCTTTCGCGACAGTAGTCGTGGACCTACAACCCAACTCTGATAGAGCTTTGGATGGCCTGTAAAGAGGTTGCTTCCAAAAAGACAAATGTTGCCTTCACTTTCACTCTCTCTTTCTCCTTTTCCTTCTAGTCTCTGTTTTGCAAGGACAAACAGAAGACAGGATAATATAATTGAAAGGGGCATTTTTATTATTTTCTGGTGTGTAGGCCTACAATATATCTACAGGTATGTATAAATGATAATCATACAAAAACATGATGTGAGAAGCGATTCTGTTTCTGAAATATCCATTCATGCTAAAAAAGACATGCTTGTACAATGCAGACTCGTGCATACAATATTATTCATAAATTCGAGTTTGTGCATGTGAACAAAAACACACACATACCCACACACACATATACGCTCACATACACACACACACACACACACACACACACACACACACACACACACACACACACACACACACACACATGCCATATCATATGGGTACATACACGAGCATTTTTGAGTTATTTATGACAGTAACACTTTGTCACTGGCTAATTAGCCCCATGTGACATCACCACAATACATAAAGACATAAAGTTGTAGACCAACACAGCACCAATACAATTGCCAGTTGTCATGGAACAGTGCCAACATATGTCTGTAAAAAAAATGGTAATTCGTTTAGATGAGAAAGACTTCAATGAAAGCTCTGTGGTAAGATTGGCTGAATCTGTCGTCAAAATCTACCAATACAAAGCCATGTTCATAGAGAGTGGGGATGACATTTGGACACTTCTATGCATCCAATGAAGTAGCATGTTTAGCTTTTCAAGAAGAAACCTGCTTTGACACAGCCATAGATCCTCATATTGTGGGGAAGGTTCAACAAGTATGACCACTGAAGATCCATGTCAGTACCTTGAAAATGATTTCAAGGTTTAAAGCTCACGACATGTCTACATGTACATCAGTCCAATCAGCCCATCTCAGGTCACCCTAAACAATGACATCTGCTCTTCTGTGTACCATTACAGACCCGCTAACTGGCTGGAACTAATAATTCACGATACTTGCCAGTCAGTTTTGGGCCTTTGGGTAGAACTAGAACAAATTCTGTATGATAAACAAAGCAATATTATCAAGTTATAACCATAATCTCCAAGATAACGTAAGTCCACTTCGAGTCTGTGGAAGTCAGACTTCGTATCTTTGCATTCTTGGATTTGATGCCAGAGACTAAATAACAGACATTCCAAAAATGTCATTATAATGTTTGGTATGGCACATGCAAATAATGTGTGGTAAGGTATTAACTGTGATTGGATCGAGCAAAGGGAAAGATCTCAGAGTGGCAATTACAATGTCCATTATTCAAAACAAGTTGAGCACCTATGAGTCTTCAAGTCCCAAAAAAACAGGTGTTGCAAAATGGCACATAAACCACTTCTGTTTTTAAATTTAAAAAATACTATCAACTAACCAATTATTATGTATTTTACAAATAAATTTACAACCTCTGAGCGCTGCAACTTTTCACAGTAACTTTGTCTTTTACTTCTTGAGAAACAGCACACAAAAAATGTATTTCCCTTTGAAAAAACCTTAGACTTTGACTTCAAAAGAGGAGTAACTTCCTGCTTCGTACATTTTGATGGCCCATATGAAGAAAAGTAAAGAGGATGTGACCATAACCATCATTAGGTCAAGCAAATTGATCCAGATTATGGGATGACATTTTTTTAAAAACTCTCTGAAAAATCAGAGTAATGATTCCCTATTTAAATTTTAAAATGTAATACTTCTGCTTCCCTGTTGTTTTTCTTGATAAAACATTGCGTAGCTTTTGTCTGGAATTAAAGTAATCTTAAGTACAGCTGCAGCTCCACGGGCTTTGGATGGTAAAACCCTCCCCTTCAGCGGGTACCTCATGCAAGGAAGGATGACTGAGACACATCGGGCACTGAGTGTTGCGCACAGTAGAGCTACGCATCCAGATGACCAGGTTAGTGCGCATGCCTTGTGTGATGGGCAGTGCTGAGTGCATCCGCCGCCCACAGTGCAAGATGCCATGGCCTTTCTGTTGAGGAAAACGGAAAGTCAAGTGTTGGTGTATTCCTGTTTTAAAAGGTCAACTGTTCAAACACTAAAAATATCTACAATCGACATAGAGTTGCCATTATAAATGATAATAGTGATGTTGGCAGTAACAGTAACATAGTTTGATGTATAGTTCAACTTTTCAAAAGGTCTAAAAACCCCTGACCTGAAACTGGTCGTCTAAAACCTTGTTAACCATTACTTCAACACTAGCCATAGAGCTGTGCTATGGTATTTACACACAACAGGTCGAAGACTTTGAAAGATGAGTGGCCTCCAATATTCTTTAGCTGTGAGTCGGTGAAAACGTCGAGGCAAACAGTGCAGGCTCGACTCCAAGAACTGTCTAACACGTACATAGTGAAACATGCATATATAGTGAAACACGCAAACATAGCAAACAGATTTTCCGGTCCCACATTATTTCTTATACATGTACATCCTTATTTATTCAAAATACATATATATAATGAAAACAATTCTACGCCGCATCGATTTCGTTATGAGCATGCTAGACTGTAGTACCAACACACAATGCTTCAGAAAAAAGCCTTAAGATTTAAAATTACACACCAGTTACCAGGCACTAGGTCAAAGTCAAATACCCTGCTTTGGCTGACTATGACATCATTCAAAATCAAGTCCTCAAAGAAAAAGTTTGGTAAGAAGAGACATATAGCTGGCTATAAGTTTAAGGGAAAAAGCAGCTTGGCCTCTCACACATTTTAGATATAACGTATAAAGGAGTACAGAAATCCAACTACAGTGGAAACCTGATATAACAGGGATGGTGGGAGTAGAGAAAAAGTCCCGTTATATCCGATTCCTGTTAAATCAGAAAGGCAAGGAAAGTAAGCATTTATGGACTAATCCAGCTGTACTTATTCATGGGTAGTTTCCCTTGCCACAAGTACCCACGAACAGGGGTTTTGGCACCAACTTTCTCCTTGCCTGCTTAAACCACATCAGAAGAGCTTGGTCCAGAGTATCTGCATCGGGTACTCTCATTTTCTTTCGATCCAGAGCAAACTTTCCATTGGAGTATGCTGCTACTTTCTTCTCTCTATCCTTGATAATGGTGTGAATCGACCCTTGTGGAATGTCGAACTGACAACAAATCTCTGCCAGTGGAGCTTGCTTTTAGTGAACAGCCTGGATTATTTCGTATTTTTTATCATTTAAAAGGCATTTTCTCTTGCGCTTGATATCGTTGGTGGCCATAATGAAAGAAGTAGGCTTAGATCTAGACGACCGAATTTCAGTAAACAGTGTTCTCTCTCTCTCTCTCTCTCTCTCTCTCTCTCTCTCTCTCTCTCTCTCTCTCTCTACGTACGTACGTACGTGTGTGTGTGCGTGCGTGCGTGCGTGCATTCATGCATGCATGCATGCATGCATGCATGTATGTATGTACGTATGTACGAATGTACGTATGTATGTAAGTATGTGTGTGAGCAGGAGTGTGTATGAGTGTATGTGCGTGCGTCACGTGCGTGTGTGCGTGTTTATGTGCGTGCGTGCGTGCATACGTGTATGTGGGCGTGCATGTCCAATTTATGTTAAACATCCAATGTCCTGCACCAATGTAAGTAATTGCCGAACTATATGTTAAAATATGTGGATGTATGGGCCAAAGGCCTTTCAAATCAATAAATGATTTTGAATCTTTGAATCTCTCTCTCTCTCTCTCTCTCTCTCTCTCTCTCTCTCTCTCTCTCTCTCTCTCTCTCTCTTTTTACACATTGTTAATGAGCCTTTGTCCCTGCTATAATCGGTTGGGCTCCAAAGAGGCTGTTATTGCTGATAATTTTTAATAGAGACAAAGAGTAGGAAAAAACGGGGATTTGAAAAATCCCTGTTATTACCGGATCCCTGTTATTACCGGGCCTGTTATATATGGCTTCCACTGTAGGCCTACTTTTTTTTAAACTAAAAAATGAAAATGCAAAGATTTATTTTTTCACCAACCCCACGTGTTGAACTTTTTATTTTGATCATTTTGACAGAAAAAAATTACAATTAAATCAAATGGGCATATTTTTCATCAAAAGATAGACAAATGAACAAGCTTTAAGATAATACCAACAACTCCACATGCTAAAAAATTGATGAGCTCCTGTTTCCGTGTCGAGACACATATTTTTTTGGTACATTGTATTACAAGTTATTGTAACCAGATACAGAGTGCACTAAAAGAAGAAAAATAAAAAACACGTCATACAAAGTAACTAGAGTAGACGGCCTACATTACAAAATGATTGTATTAAAGTCGTTTTCCTGTATGACAATGACGTCTTTTTTTTTAACGTCCCTTTGAAACCGACAAAGTCCACATTACCTTATGATCACAGGTATAGCTTTCCTCTCCTTTGCCCTCATACTCTTCCTCGTCTCCGAATATTCTCCCAAATTGCAAATTTCCACCTTCATACTTGTCTCCAAGGTTTATATTGATGGTGACCTCAGCATTGTCATAGTGCGTCGCCAACTGCAGGTCATTGCCCATTTCATACTTGACACTGAAGGCCTTGAAGGAATCAATGGTGCCTCCTCCCCATGATGGAAAAAGTGAGGCACAAATAGGAAGCAAATATTTTTGGATAAGGGGCAGTATAAGCCCTTGTGAAAGACCCATCTCATCCAGCGAGACCTGAAGACCAGAGAAATAAAGAAGCTAACAGAAATTCATTAAAATAAAATTTCTTTTCCTACACATTATTGGCCTATCAATAGGTACATTAGCACAGACGTCATACTGTTGAGGCCTAGAGCAAGTTAGCATCACGCAGGCCCTTTGTTAATTTTTTTTATACAACTACAGTAGGGCCTATAACACGGATAGGTCGAACACAGAAGACTCAAAATTACGCATCCATTGAACTGTTCCTGTGGTCCCGGATTTTTTTCTTCTTTATCTTTGTAAAATATCCCTCGAACTACAGATCCCTCGATCTACAGAGGCCGGTCCCAACGAATTCAAGCTATCTGTTTTATACTGCAGCCTACTTCTGATAGTGCATGGCTTGGTTTGGAGGTACAACTAGTAAGTCTTACTTCTCTAGCGTCTCTCTTTGTTTCAGCCTCATCTGTCCTGCTTTTCCTTGACACAAAATGGCTGTCATGTGTATGTCTCTTTACTCAAACAAACGTAAACCATAACCATCACAACCCTCTAGTAAGATTGGGAGGAGGGAGGCAAATGTCTGAACAATGTGTGGGTAGTTAAGTATTAATCTAACTTTACAGCAAGATTGCAAGCCACATTGCATCACAATATCCTCATTTCTCCAAAAAACAGACTTTTTATTCTGGAAAACTCACTAACATAAAAGGCTGAACAAAGCAAAAATTTTCAAAGGCATAGCTTGGTAAAATATTGCAAGGGACAGTCTAGACAGCTAGAAATTTAGCGCACAGACATGTAAGCAACTTAATCCACACAAATCCCTCAGGGTTCATCATCCCTCCTCCCCTTTCCACGGGTACAAAATTAAAAAGTTTTTTCACACTCTTGCTAACCTTGCCCCCCAAATACACACATACAAATTACACAGAACAAAAAAAGGAAAGGACTACTTGCAACCAGTTTGGTGCTGTTTAAATTTAACTTTTCTTGACTGGGTCGTCTGAGGAGTTCTCAAGGCGTAAAGGCCCTCCATCATCTTAATCTAAGTCTAAGCTTGATTCTATTAGAGATGGATATATGAAATTACGAGGACCTGCCTCATGAACAACCTTTCAGAGTTTAATGGGGTGACAGGCACACATGATACAGTCAGGGAATGTCTTCTTGTTCAAGTCATCTGTGAATTCGAGTTTTGCATGTTTGAGTTATCTGAGCTCAGCTGTACTTTAAGTTCCTAATAGCACTTACCTTAAACATTATTAACTTAAGTAGAACAATTATAAATTTTTTGTCACTGAGAAAGCAAGGCTACAGAATTGTCTAAAAGAAATATTGTAGAGGAGACTTAAATTTTTTTTTTTATTTTCACTATTTCCACAATACAGAAATCAACCATTCTTTAGAAATCTCCTGTAGCATGCAAATAGATCTTGTACTTTGGAGTCAATATTATGTTCATTTTTTTCTCAGCCACACACATTATGAGCTCCCAAAATTGCAGTCTTACATTTGTGTCATAAAATCTAGGACTCAAACAAAATCTATACAGACCCCATATTCATTCATTGTGTTTGGTCGTGTTTTTGCATGAGGTGAACTCTCAAAGTTCTCAATTTCTTCGATGAGTAACTTGCACATGTCTGAAGAGAAAACAGGAAATTGGTAGACTTCCATCTCTGGAAAGAAGAAAAAAAATTATAAAATTTCTCAGTTAACAGACTAATCTTAACCACTGATAACTGATCTATCATACTTTACTTTTCTGATCCAGCGGCCATCAGATTTTTAATCCTGTGGCCTGTCGATATGGCAAAATAATTTACAGGTTTTTATCAGCTACACTTTGTCGCTGTATAGAGTATTTCTGATATCTGGGGAAGCAGGTAGGTAGGTAGGTACTACACAGGTCGCGAAGTGCAGGGCAAGTAAAGTGGTGGTGCGATACTGTTTCATCCTGGCAGTCACACAGCGGAAAGGCAGGTGGGGTATCCTTACAGTACAGATCCTGTTAAGGCAGGAATTCAGTGGGATGTGTTGTGTTCACAGGTTAAACTATCATAAGATCTTTTGTTTCAATACTTACATTTTATCCCAGAACTAGAAATATATTTTTCTACATGAGGAACCAGTAGAGAAATTAATGTATTACACACTATTACATCATGTTCAGTGAGTAAGCAGAATAATCTTGAGTAAGAAAAAGAAGAAACAGGGAATGAATAATTTCAGGATATCAGTAGCGCCAAAAGTTATGGTAAAAAGTCTCAAATACTCCAGCACAGATGCATCAGGTTTTACAACAAAATCTTTTCCATTAGAAAAAGAGACCACACTTACCTGTAATGTTACCGCTATTGTCCAGAATGGAAAATAGCAGATTATCCAGAGATTTGGACTGAGCATCTGCTACAATGCTAAAAAATCTTGAGTCCAAAAATGGCTCTTTCAGGATCCAGATATCTGGATGCAGTTTGATGTAAGTATCTTTGAAACGCTGTGTACGATCTGCAGTGAGCTTATGCAAAGCTCTCCGACGCTCAATTTCACTGGTGATCTGTGTTTACAAAATAACTTTGAATCAATGAAAACTAAATATGTTCAGCAAAAACAACCTCTGGATAAACAAATTGGTGCACAAATCAAAGCACAATTTTTTCTATTCTCAGGATTGTTTAATAAAAGTCATAAAATTTCAAGTTTTAAAAACATAAACACAAAAATATAAAGAGGGATACCAGGAGGCTATGTTGCTTTTGAGTTTGAGTAAAAGAAGTAATCAGGTAAGATTATTCAAACAGAGTTGAGGAAAGAAAATCCACAAAGTCAGATGCATATATATCAGTCAAACCTCGATGTACCACCCCATTGTACCGCCAGCCCCGCTTACCGCCAGGTTTTGCCAATGTACGAAAAGAATCCCTTATATTTAATAAACAAAGTATTTGCACCTTTACACCACCTACCCCACAGGCATTCACCAGCCTGTAAGTTATTGGGCTGATATCTGGCAATGCCAAATATTCTGTCAGGGGGCCAAGATTGTTTCTCCTGACGATATAAAAATTTAATTCCAATTTTTTTTTACTTTGACCTAGGCCTAAAAATATCATTTTCCAATTTTTCATAATCAGTGCATCAAGTTAAGTCGGATTCGTGAGGGAGTAAAATTTGTGCAGAATTACAAATATATATGTTACACATTGTATTGTGTTCGTTTGCGACACACTATATCACTGTAGATCTATCCATATTGCCTGAAATCTTCAAGACAAGGGCGGAGAGGGAGCAAATCGGCAAAAAGCGTTTGATCTAGAACTAGGCTTAGCACGTAGACACGAGTGTGAAAGATTGTCAAGCAACTGCTGAGTGGATGTGCCGTGCGCCATGTGTAGTCTACTGTGTACTTCTGGCGGGCCAGATCACTGGCGGCACGTCGGGGTAAATTTACAGTAGTTTAATAAGCACTATACAACTGACACATTTGGTGGAAGGTGGTGGAAGTGTAAAGGCGCAAATACTATAGAGGGTTCTTTTCGTACATTGGCAAAACCTGGCAGTAAACGAGACTTGCAGTGCAACGGGAGGCAGTACAACGAGGTATGACTGTATATACTGTATAATTAGAATGAAACATTTAAAGAGACTTCAACATAGTGTGCCACTAAAAACAAAGGAATTTACAAGAAATACAACTGGTGAACATGACTATCACAAACTCTAGAAATTTTTATTCCCTACCTGCTCAAGAACATCCTTATACTGCTTTTCTGTGGCACAACCTTTCATGCGGAGGAGCTGTAAACAGAAATTTAAGGAAGAGAAACAATAATATTCTCAGCGTAGTTGTCATTCATTAATCAGTTTCTACACATAACTATGGTTCTGCTCTGAAGAAGAGAAAACGAGATGGCAGGAAATCCATGCACTTTACAACTGAATTTGAGAAAAGCAACAATACCTTTGCATGAAAAACAATCTGTAGTAGAAACAATGCAAACAAAAAGGCATAATGTCCCATCCTGTTCTGAGATCTACACTGTTCACCACAGTTTCACACTATGTAAATCGTCTCACATGTTTGCTCCTCTTTACATGAAAAAAAATAAAGAAAATCCTTGTGGAAGAGCTCTAAAAGAGTTCTTAATGAGAAGTTGGAGTCACTGGTTATGTTAAATATTTGCACCAAAATCAAAGATTTTTAGGATGTAATGGGCAATGAAGCACTTAGAAGATTCCTTTTTTTTTTATTTAGTCTCTACCACATTCTCAGTCTGAACCACTTTAAAAAAATTTTTTAAAGTTTTAAATCTTAAATTGAATTATAATAAAGAAAAATCATACCTGTCGGTACTGATCCTGAAACTGATCTTGACTTTCGAAAGTTACATGCATTTTATAGCGCTTTAAGAATATGTTTCTCTTGAAGAAACATGAGCAGATATACTCTTGACCTCCTTTTAACAACATTGTCTACGATAACATACAGCAAATTTAATCTCTCCACTGGTCTGCCTAAGAGGAGTTTATAACATCCCTGGCTCGGTCTCTCGCCTCTTCTGCTATACTGCGGAAACATAAATTATTTATAATTAAACATAGACAAACATGATAATATTAATAATAGAGCACAATTTCCATCACTTTGTAAAAATTGGAGAGGGGGGAGCAGAAAATAAAATGAGAATCCAAACCATCAAGTCTTAAAAATGGATTTTAAAAGACCCATAGAGGCTGAAAGGACCCAAAACTATAGCTTCCCAAAATTTTTTATTATTTTCATCAATAAGTTGACATTTACTTTTTGGGGGTTTAATTTTGTCCAAATTTTGAGAATAATCAATAAATTGAGATTTCCTAGAAAAATAAATTTTGTCTAAACACTAGCAGTAAAAGAGTAAAAAACAGTTTCTCTAGCTTCACTGGGG